AAAAAATATTCGTCTAGTGTTAATTTTAGTATTAGTTTTCGGATTTTTGACTTTAAATGTTTGTCTGTCCAACAACTTCCTGATAGTTTAGTTATACTAGTGTAACTTTGTTATTTAAACAACGTTCGTATTTTTAGGTTACTAATATGGTAAATCAATTCATAAACCCAAACAAAGCGATAAAGACTATGATGGGTTTATTGAGAAATGTTAAAGGCGATTAAGATGAATTTCGAATCTAAAAGACATAGAGATAAAATGCAACGCATGTACGGGCCAGGTTAATACGCAGGTTATTGGGGTATATGACAATTTAACAATAGTGAAAATGAGCAGAAAAGTAATTTTAAAGCTGAGACTACTTATGGAACTTTAAGCAGGAATACGACGTGTTACAAACTTTCCATAAGAAGATCCTGCATTTAGCCTAGTGATATTTACTAATATGTTCCAAAAGCAACTGTAACTAAGAAATGTCTTTAAACAACATGCTTTCTCTTAATAGTGTGTTGTAGTATAAAAGTATTAAATATTTCTACCAAAACGTCTTGAGAGTGGCTCGTATAAAATATATACAACCAGTCCAAGGGAAAAATTCTATGTAAGTCAAGAAGTGCTAAACGCATAGTAAACTAACCAGAAAAGGGAAAAATGTAAAACTCGCCTGGGTTATTTTTGCTTCCAAGTAATGAAAATTTGAAGTAGACAGTAGTTCGAATCTGGATTATATACTAGGTATTATTGATTAAATCCTTGGATCAACCTTGCATTGAAGACTGGATTTGTATAAGTCCAAGATTAATTGAAGCCAAATAAGTAGCATTGCCTGATGAATAGTCTAAGCAAGATCTAAGATTGCAGGAAATTTATGGTTCAAACTCACAGCAAGTTTCTGGCATTCGTATCCTCTGTTTGGCCTTCGGACTCAGCAGTTGAAAATTAGGCAGGCAGTAGTCGGAAGAAAATGTATTGCAGGATAGTGCATAGCTTATAACAGAATGAGACGCAAGTGAAGAAACAATTAGATCCAGATAACTATTAATTCATTGCTTACGTCGTAAGTCAATGTATATTTAGGTTATTTATACGTCATATTTGCTACAGCTTAATGTTTAGACAAGTTTATTTCGCTGAAGCATGTAAATGCTATTAAAGCTTGCTAATGAACCATCAAAGTTAATAATTAATATAGATCATCAATTCTTATTATCGATCAAGCTAGTGAGTTATGAGAACTAATCAATATAACATTACGATAATACATGTGAGGATTAATCAGAGGACTATTAGAATAATGGGTTTACATAAGTAAAATTCGATTATGTTAGGGCCCAATGCAACCACGTACTTACGATATGAGCATCAAATACAATACAACACCATACAGTTTTATGACTGCCTCAATCACATCAGTTATGCCAAAACGGAATGGATGTACAATCCAGCATGTTCAGGAAAGACGGTGTATTCAAAGAGGAGTTATTTCAAGCAAACTATTTAGCTGGGATAAAATATCATCATTTTTGCTTGCGGAGTGTAGCACTAGGCTAAAGAAATGTCTTTTTAACAGTTTATAGTCTAGAAAAAATGAGTGTCATTAAGCTCACAAGTATAAAAATTGACCTCATTTACTTAAGTCAGCAGGTCACATTCAAGTTCCTGTTAATTAAATGGTGATAGATCTTCTTCCTAGTTCTTTCACCAAGTAAAAATAACCATTATCAACTCTCACAAGTTATGATTTTCAAGTAACGTAATTTTCACTTAGCGAAGTATGATCCGTTTATGTATGACGACCTGTTTGGCTCATAAATGTAAACGTTATGCGATTCCCAGCACATAAACCGCACCTTTATGTATCGTAAAAAAACCACCTAAGATACCAAGATGAAAGAAATCTATATAATACTCAGTAATATCCGTAACTTTGTTATTGTTGTAACGGAACAGCTTGTACAGAATTATAGTGTATGATACATTTACTAATCATTCCACCTTTGTATGTCTATACTCTCGTGGATTGCAACAACCGAGCCCTGAAGTTTCATGCAAAACGTGATAACATGTTTTAGAGGCAAATAAATACCCAAAATAAATAGCTTTGTAAGTTTTCAACATTGGATGCTGAACACATTATGTTCTTGACGCGATATGCTGCTTTGTTCAACCTTGAGACCAGAAATGCGCGAGCGCGAAATGAAATTAAGCCTTCAGCAGAGACGAAATCTATTCTACCACCTGACTAGTTGGCAGACGGGAGAGGAAAGCATAGTAAATTAGAATAGTACTCGTTTTACTACTGATTAGGATGGATGTAGAAAGTTATAAATAGATAACTAACACGACCAGAACTCATAAACAATAAGAAAACTACAGTTATGTTCAAATTAAGTTTTAGTGTAGAAAAACGGAGTACAAGAATTTACGTTTAAATTACAGTAGCCTTGAAACAGTAAGGATTATTGGAGCAACTCATATATCAAACGAAATCTTGTGGTCTATAGAATGATCTAAACTAGATGTTAGTAGTTTAAAAACTTTGAATCAAGTGAAACAACGTCGCCAGAAATAGTTTCGGTTGTCCGCCATGACTTCTTCATTTCTCTATTTACACCAACCTGTTAAAAAATGAATGCTTTACAATAAGTGAAAATTAATAACCGCATAACGCATTGGAATTTTACTACGTCTATATTATGGGACAAAATACGATCTCTGAACCTCTTACAGTGCCATGTAGTTACACAAAACGTATCCAAAATTCACTGTGTCGATAATTTGTTGAACGTATGATAAGTAGTCTGAAGTGCTATTTGTAGATAAGTGTAATGTAGCACAGTACAATAATTAATACGAATACTATGAACATGTGTTATGCACTTACTAACTTGTACTTATTGTCACTTGTTCTTTAAAAAAAGAAGTAAGGATGAGATCTGACGGTAGTACATGATGAGATATATAATTTGTAAGTAACAGTGTGAGCAAACAAATCTTGGTGATACGGTCTTAACTGCAAGTGACTTAACTAGTGGTGGTCAGTCTGAAAGTTCACTGTTATTTGAAACCATAACAATAATCTCATATAGATAAGCTGTCAATACCTTATCCACAAGTATAAAAAGCAGATTAAATGCTACTTAGAAGGCGAACGGAAAATATTTAACAATTCTAAAGTCTAAAAATGTATATTCCCTAGAATGAAGCACAGTATACTGCTTATCAATCCATTGATAAAATGAATTGTTGATTGTGAATTAAATGTGGTAATGATCTTTTCTGTTATGTTTCCGCATGATTTTATCACCAACGATAAAATTTTGTCAGTTTGATGCGTCACATTTGTAATCGGGAATGACAATATAATCAACCCACTGTCCTAAATTTTAGAGGAAATGTTGTTCAATCTTTGTAGTCTCATTAGAAATTTCAGGAAATGACTGCAGATAGCCATCTTCGTGAAATGCATTGCATCTCCTCAGTGCATTGTCTGCATAATCTTGAGTATGAACTGAGTTGGAATGACGTAATGTAGTGGAATTTTTTATATCCTCATGAATCATTTTACGAGATCTCCCTCCTTTACCGCATTCGAAACTTGTATACTGAACATAGTCTAGCAGCAGTTCCTTGAGAGCTGTATGAGGAAGCGAAATGGGCTTTTCCGGCATAGCCAGAGTTCTTAATAAGCTGTATGCTTCTTTTCCAATGAATGTGAGGAAGTGTGCCACAATATTAACATCCTCATCATCTCCCTTGGTCATAGCCCAGATTTCGAACCTTTCAAAGTAATCTTCAAAAACGTCCGAAGTTGAATGAATACCTAACTTTTCCATTGCAGGCTCCATCGCGACGCCAATATAATATTCTAATTGTCGGTTGAATTAGGAATTCCAGGATTAACGCAATTGAATTAAGAAGACACAGGCACAAACGAATGTATTGTATTTGGAATTCGAAATCGAGCATTCAACAAGTACAAAAGAATCATTAGTTAATTCAAACACCACAGACACATACCCACTTTTGGTCTGACTTGCTGAGTCTGTTGTAAGCAGTTGCTGTCAGATCTGTGCATGCTTCGTGGAACCAACCTTTGCAGTTGTCGCACTGCATGCCAGTTGTAACAGCAAAACGGCATCCCGGACGTTTTTATGAGTTTTTCATGATTACATTGAAGCAAACTATGTTATAGATGCTTGCAAAAGCCTAAGACCTTTAAAAAGCACTAAAGAGCACATTGAAAACGGACAAAAATGGATAAAACGAGTGATGTAAACTGAAACTAGTCTATAAGTGAAAAACAAAAAAAACCGAATAGTAAGCTGGGACAAAACCACAGGTAACTATTAAATATGTTGAGACTCAAAAAAAAGTAATCTAACGAACGTATAGCTCAGGATAGATTCTTTAGAACTGAAATGGTACTTTTGTTGCGTAAGAACACAGTAAAAGTTTGATAAATGCAAATCACGTTAGGACTAAACTTCCCGTTCGAAAAGCGCGCAGTTCATTTTTTCAAGTTAATGAGTGGTTATTATTAAGATAATGCCACAAAGTGATTTATTTTGAAATTCAGACACATATCTAACGAGACGAACAGTTTGGAATTTCTACTCAGCGCAGTTTGAATAAGTCAATTACGTTATATACACCCTCCAACCAGATGCGCTCAGTTTGTATGGTTTGTTTTTGTTATGCATTCGGGACCTTACTCTCCATAATTTCTTTAGTTGCTTCTAGATAACCTCGACTTCGCGTTTGTCCATTCTTGACCGTTATTCCATCTATTATAACACTTATCTTATCAAAAAGCTCTTCGGTTCATTTGCTCATCTCCATTTTTCTTTCAGTTATCCCACTGACGCTTATCCAACAAAAAGGCACCTTCAGGGTAAATGCAAGTCTATCACTGCCCTAACTTTCCGTGCTTTTCATAGATGATATTACACAGGAAAACTCAAAGTTGTTGTTAACACCAAAGGGTTGTTTGCGTACAAATGGCACAATCTCGTAGAGACAAAAAGTTGACTGGAGCGGACACGTTTGAAGTATGGATTATTATAACGTTATGTAATTGTCCACTTTTAGAGTTTGTCTGAAGTTTTCCGCTGCTTTATATGTATGGAGAAGCTTAATAACGCTCGTTTGTGTCCACACTGTTCGAAGTTGTGTTGCTACAAGTGTATAAGAGTAAGCCCTTTTTCAATAATGCCTGAATCTGTAGAAATGGATCACAGAAACACGGTCTCAGTGCCCCCATTGCCGGTAATTTCGTGGTCATTACGTTTTTTTTCAAAATGTTTTGGTGTTTGTGTAAGGGTTTTCAATTCTCCAACTTTGATAAAAATTTCGCCGAGTTTGAGCCAGCCAGCTACAACGTAGGACCAGGCACATATAAGCATCGGTCCAAGTTGCCACACCTCATTAACACAACAAGATGAACACCGAATTCATAAAAGTAGTTAATTCAGAGGTGGTAATATATAAAAGAAAGATTGAATATAATGATATAATACAGGAAGAAAGAATTAGTCCGTAGAAGGAAAGGTATAAAGCAATTTCAATCTCACAGTTTAAGGGAAGATAAAGAGTGCATACACCGACACCATTGTGATCGATTCTGAGCCATGTCACACAGTCTCCAACCATTGGTTACTATAGTCACGCGGACCCCAACCAAGTAGTCTGCATCTACCAACATGGCTCAGACTAGAAGTTAGTGACTTCCAAGACTGATGTCACGCTTTTGTTCGACCTCCCCTATCTTTCTTCCAACCGTCTCCAACACTGGTCAGCCTTACGCGTGGTGGTAGTGTCCAGGCATACGTAACACGTGTCCCAACCATCTCAGTCGATGAAGATTCACAACCTCATCAACTGATCTACCATTCCTCCTTAATACCCTGCGTCTAACCTCACTATTACTTACCCGGTGATCCCAGCAGACGCCAGCAATATTTCGAAGGCATCTGTGATCAAATACTAGTAGCTTACGAGTGTCTTCTACTTTTAATGGCCATGTCTTGCTGCCGTAAATTAAAACAGAACGGACTGCCGCTCAGCAGACTCGTCCTTTAATTGATAGACGGATATCTCGCCTTCGCCACAGGTGACGTAAGTTGGCAAAAGCCAAACGAGCCCTTCGAATCCGTGCTGAGGCTTCGTCAGACACTGACACATTAGGGCTGATCAGACTTCCAAGATAAGCGAAATTGACTACTTCACTCCTTATCCTTAGTTCAGGTGTTGACGCGGAACAGTTCTGAAGCAGCAGCTTGCATTTCGAGGGAGAGAAGCGCATTCCAAACATCCTGGCATTGTTGCTTAGTGCTACCAAAAGACTCTGCATTTTATCAGCGTCTTCACCAAACAGGACTATGTCATCTGCGTATTCTAAGTCGATAAGTGGACCTCCTGGTAGAAGATCAATACCCGAGAATTCAGTAGACGAGAATGTTATTTCTATCAATACGTCTATGATGAAGTTAAACAAAAGTGGAGAAAGTGGACAACCTTGACGGACACCACTTGAGGTTGCGAAAGCAGATGACATTTCGCCATAAGCTTCTGGGTATTCAAATATCCACTTAAAAAAACGCATCTTCTAATAGCTATAAAACTCTTGGCCAATAGATTTTTATTAAAGCGCTTTAACATGTGAAATTCTTTTATATCACTACTAAATGTGTTTTTTTGATTATTGAAAAACCATTAAAGTGTTACTGAACCAGTTGTATAGCTGATTTTTCAGAACAGCAAAATCCAGAAGTAACACCTTGAAGATATTCACATTATAGGAATTAGTGTCTCATCAGGTCATTAATTTTCAGAATTCTGAATACTAGTCAACACCAATTCCTAGGTTTCATCAAGCGCGTCATTTCACTATTTAGAAAATACATCGTTATCAGGGAAACGGAAATAAGGGGATGTAACTCTGCTCAGAAGTCAGTTGCGAATATAGAGTGTCTATACGTTTGTATGTATTATTATCCATTATTTCATTTGAACACAAACATTGGTACATAGGGGCGCCAAATACATTTACGCCACAATAATAATGAGGCCAGTAAATCAGCTACAACGTAGGATCAAGCACATATATGCATCGGTTCAAGTTGCCACACCTCATTAGCACAACAAGATGAACACCGAATTCATAGAAGTAGTCACTTCAATGATAGCAATGTATAAAAGAAAGATTGAATATAAAGATATAGTACAGGAAGAAAGAATTAGTTCGTAGAAGGAAAGGTATAAAGCAATTTCAATCTCACAGTTTAAGGGAAGATAAAGAGTGCATACACCGACACCATTGTGATCGATTCTGAGCCATGTCACACAGTCTCCAACCATTGGTTACTATAGTCACGCGGACCCCAACCAAGTAGTCTGCATCTACCAACATGGCTCAGACTAGAAGTTAGTGACTTCCAAGACTGATGTCACGCTTTTGTTCGACCTCCCCTATCTTTCTTCCAACCGTCTCCAACACTGGTCAGCCTTACGCGTGGTGGTAGTGTCCAGGCATACGTAACACGTGTCCCAACCATCTCAGTCGATGAAGATTCACAACCTCATCAACTGATCTACCATTCCTCCTTAATACCCTGCGTCTAACCTCACTATTACTTACCCGGTGATCCCAGCAGACGCCAGCAATATTTCTAAGGCATCTGTGATCAAATACTAGTAGCTTACGAGTGTCTTCTACTTTTAATGGCCATGTCTTGCTGCCGTAAATTAAAACAGAACGGACTGCCGCTCAGCAGACTCGTCCTTTAATTGATAGACGGATATCTCGCCTTCGCCACAGGTGACGTAAGTTGGCAAAAGCCAAACGAGCCCTTCGAATCCGTGCTGAGGCTTCGTCAGACACTGACACATTAGGGCTGATCAGACTTCCAAGATAAGCGAAATTGACTACTTCACTCCTTATCCTTAGTTCAGGTGTTGACGCGGAACAGTTCTGAAGCAGCAGCTTGCATTTCGAGGGAGAGAAGCGCATTCCAAACATCCTGGCATTGTTGCTTAGTGCTACCAAAAGACTCTGCATTTTATCAGCGTCTTCACCAAACAGGACTATGTCATCTGCGTATTCTAAGTCGATAAGTGGACCTCCTGGTAGAAGATCAATACCCGAGAATTCAGTAGACGAGAATGTTATTTCTATCAATACGTCTATGATGAAGTTAAACAAAAGTGGAGAAAGTGGACAACCTTGACGGACACCACTTGAGGTTGCGAAAGCAGATGACATTTCGCCATAAGCTTCTGGGTATTCAAATATCCACTTAAAAAACGCATCTTCTAATAGCTATAAAACTCTTGGCCAATAGATTTTTATTAAAGCGCTTTAACATGTGAAATTCTTTTATATCACTACTAAATGTGTTTTTTTGATTATTGAAAAACCATTAAAGTGTTACTGAACCAGTTGTATAGCTGATTTTTCAGAACAGCAAAATCCAGAAGTAACACCTTGAAGATATTCACATTATAGGAATTAGTGTCTCATCAGGTCATTAATTTTCAGAATTCTGAATACTAGTCAACACCAATTCCTAGGTTTCATCAAGCGCGTCATTTCACTATTTAGAAAATACATCGTTATCAGGGAAACGGAAATAAGGGGATGTAACTCTGCTCAGAAGTCAGTTGCGAATATAGAGTGTCTATACGTTTGTATGTATTATTATCCATTATTTCATTTGAACACAAACATTGGTACATAGGGGCGCCAAATACATTTACGCCACAATAATAATGAGGCCAGTAAATCAGCTACAACGTAGGATCAAGCACATATATGCATCGGTTCAAGTTGCCACACCTCATTAGCACAACAAGATGAACACCGAATTCATAGAAGTAGTCACTTCAATGATAGCAATGTATAAAAGAAAGATTGAATATAAAGATATAGTACAGGAAGAAAGAATTAGTTCGTAGAAGGAAAGGTATAAAGCAATTTCAATCTCACAGTTTAAGGGAAGATAAAGAGTGCATACACCGACACCATTGTGATCGATTCTGAGCCATGTCACACAGTCTCCAACCATTGGTTACTATAGTCACGCGGACCCCAACCAAGTAGTCTGCATCTACCAACATGGCTCAGACTAGAAGTTAGTGACTTCCAAGACTGATGTCACGCTTTTGTTCGACCTCCCCTATCTTTCTTCCAACCGTCTCCAACACTGGTCAGCCTTACGCGTGGTGGTAGTGTCCAGGCATACGTAACACGTGTCCCAACCATCTCAGTCGATGAAGATTCACAACCTCATCAACTGATCTACCATCACTCTCTAATACTCTGTGTCTAACCTCACTATTACTTACCCGGTGATCCCAGCAGATGCCAGAAATATTTCTAAGGTATCTTCTACTCTTAATTAATGGCCATGTTTCGCCGCCGTAAAGTAGAACGGAACGAACTGTTGCGCAGTATACTCGCCCTTTCATTGATAGACGGATATCTCGCCTTCACCATAGGCGACATTTCCTCAGTGAATAAGTGAACCTCCTGGTAGGAGACCGATCCCTGGAAATTCAATCTACGAGAGCGTTATTTCCAGCAGTTGGTCTATGATGAGATTGAACAAAAATGGAGATAGTGGACAACCTTGCTGGACACCACTTGAGGTTGCAAAATCAGATGGCAGTTCGCCATAAGTTCTGACTCGACTTGTAGTGTTCGAATAAAGAGCCTTCACAAGGTTTATGTACTTCCGAGGTACAACTTCCGATGACACACTGCCACAGAACCTCGATCTACAGAATCAAATGCTGCAATGGACTTAGTAGAAATCCATTTGTTTTTCGTGACCCTTTGGTTTAAATCGTTAATAGATGTTGCTGCTGTTTCCACAGCTGTTCGTATATCTATCCAAGCAACATCTGGTTTGGCCTCGTCTTCAGAACTACCTAAGTGTGACCTCAGTTGTTCCTGGAACTTACTTTTGGTTTTCTCGTTACTCAACTCAGTTCTAATGGGTCTTTTTAATGTGAATTTTTTTGCGTCCAGTGAGGCGCAAGCAGATGCGTGCCCATATTAGAGCATGGTCGGAGTCCAGGCAGGTATTCCAGAATGAGCGACAACCTTTTGTCGGGCCTCTCAAACGATGACTGATGGCAATATGGTCTATTTGAGTCCATCATTGGTTTTGTGCAAGAGGTCTCCAAGTTAGACGATGTTTCTCTTTATGCTTAAAATTAGTACTTGCTAAAACTAAACAATTGTCTGAACACAGTCGCAGCAGACGGTCACCGTTATATGTTCGCTGAGCCAGAATACCAAAATACCCACTTAAATATCTTCCTGTTGGGTTTAAACTACCTAGCTGGGCATTAAATTCACCTGCTACGAGCACTATGTTTGAGTGTTTAGCTTTTTGAAGAATTCCTGTAAAAGTCATCTTTCACTTCATCCAGGTTGCAGTCAGTGGGAGCATAGGCAGAAGCGACGAAAAGGCAACGACGTGTGTCCATATCCTTCCGAGTTCTTACGGAGCCGTTTAACTGAACAGTACATAGATGACTGTTATTGGGGATCTACTCCATCAGTGTTTGTTCTGCGCTCGTACTTAGTGCCATGCCTACACCTGCCAGTCCACAAGAGCTAGCCATCGGGTCTCCATATACGCGGCGGGTGTATCTCGTCGATTCTCTGTTTTGGTGAGATGAGGTCAAGTGAATGACCACACTAGGATCCTGCATATGTGTTTCGAAGACACAGCATACCTCAGTGGTACGAGATTCTAGGGTTGTAACCAAGGAGGCCTGCTGACCGATTTGACATAGGGTGCTTACGTTGAAGGCTCGAATGTATAGTGTGGAGCGAGATTTCAGTAGAGATGGGACAGTGTTTTGCGCACTAGAATCGTTGGCTATGGTGACACTTGTGTAGGAGGCGAGTAGTAATTATCATTGGTTTTTGTGAGGGCTGTGATATTGCCTGGTTCGCCTAACCGGAGCAAGTGGTATTCTTAGGGGTCACACTTCAAGCCTTTAACCTAGAGGTCTAATCCACAAGGAAGTGGAGCTCCTTTAAGAAATGCAGTCTCATGATAGACGGTGATCAGCAATAGGTTCTTACATCTTTTGTTCCCTCAGGATCCTGGATACCATGCGCACCATTGATTTGGAATCAGGGTTTTCCGACTCCCCTAGACAGACACTCTGTATCCATCAACCTGGTTTGAGCGCCGAACATTCGCTATTCGCTGTTTCAATTTTGTAAACAGCATCCTCTCCGCAAGAAGGTAGTGAGTAAGATGCATTTAATATCACAGTACGACGACCACTTACTCCAATGGTCAATACCTCTTAATTGCTTCAATATATATTTTGTATGTGGTTTTCAAATGGATAAAAATAACATTTCTTTTGAATAGTTTAATAAGCACGACACCATACTATGCCACGCAAAATCATTGTTTATATATTTCAGTCAGTAGAATTCGGGAACACTGAAGCCAATGGATATTGTTGTTATCAGCTACTGAAGTTTTCTCCTTAGTATTATTACCTGAAGATGCCTTATATAAATGTTTGGCGCTACAATCTGTCAATGATATGATTTCAGCATATGTACGGGAGTTCCCGGATATGTCATCACAGTCCGTTGTAGGATTCATGTAAGAACAACAAATCGTCTGTAGTCTTAAGAATTGTTTCGCGTTAATGCCTTACATTCTGGTTCAAACCACTTAAACAACACAATTAATGAATTATTTAATTACTCGTTTACCCCATAATATTATTAGTACATTAAAAATCTATTCAAAGGGATTAACCCAAGTGAATAAACTTCTGGACATATGAATATCGTGGAGTAACTTTTCTGTAAGGATGATTACATACCTTCGATTTGTACTAAAAAACAAAAATACATTTGTAGAAATAATTGGGTTCACTGGTAATCTGGCTTTAAGACAGATTTCCCAAAATTCGTTTCACAAATTTAATGGAATGACGACATCGGTTATTAGTATTTTGAATTGACTAGACGTACCAGCTTCCCTGTTGCTGATGATGAGGAAACTAGACGAAATGTTTCTTGTATTCTTTAGGCGTCGTCAGTGCTACCTGTTATACGCTAGTGAAGATCACATTACGAGTAACTTCCGAAACCTATTAATGGACTAATATTATTTATATATTCTTATGGTATAAATATTCAGTAACTAGATTATGTATATCTATATTCTTCTTGTTATAAGCTTTATTTTGACCTATATATTATTATTGTACGATTTACTGTTCTTAAGCTATGTTCAGTTTATTGACTACTGCCTCCCACGTTCACAGCCACTTTTTGGCTTTATTGTATATGAACGTTATTTCCTATTTTATGGTGCGTTGCGGTCTGTTTGTTTGGTATATAAACCCGGTATGTCTGAAATAAATGATTTGCATAGTGGAGGCTGTTATTGGCATTCTGGACTCAGCTGGACGGGCTAGGCGGGCAATGGGTCAATAGGACGCTAGGCTGATCAGACCGGTCGAACGTCATTGGTTAGGTACAGTATAAGAGCGAATTAGTCGTGTTTTGATTGACGAACAGATTACGTGGTAACAAGCGGCTCATAAAGTCGCAACACTACCCCTCAATTCTAGGAAAAACATCCCAAACTGTGAAGTTCGTCATGACAGTTCATCGGAGATATCAGATATAAATATCGTTATTTTAAAAATGGACTGTACTTGAAAGCGTAAACGAATGAATTAACTCTTGCTTGTTACTAGTACTAAGTAAAATTTCGTGTGTTGTCATTTGTGAACACTTCTGAGGAGTGCGAATCTATGGAGAAGAAGTTGTCATTTGTCTTCTAAAATCTCAATACTTACTAACTTAGCTTTTTATTCGATTCCTCATCACACCTAGTAAATGGTCACACTTGAATATACCAGTTCAATAGACTTATCGTAAAGATGACAGCAATAATTGGTAATCAAGGTTTTATAAATCATCGCTTCATGTTGACATATTATATGATGGAAACTATGCAGGGGACCTAATGATGTCTCTGAAAATACGACCAAAGTATGAATTTTCAACTTGAAGTTCAAATTAACTCATTCACAAGGCACTTAGTTATGAGTTGGAGTGTAAGTGTTAAGGCCAACGATACTAACTGGTTTTCTAAACCAAAGTAGATTGAGCGGAGTTCAAACCTGAGGCTTAGTAGCTTAGTCGAACGCTTTAACTACTAGGTCATTACTCCAAATCATAGATATCAGTTAAATAATTAGTAAAACACTTTGTAGGTTATGGTTCTGACCTTATATCAGTAAAGAATTAAACTGTTCGTTATTGTTAGCGATAGGATTAGAGTATTCTTTTAGTTACTATAAGATTTCGTCTTGCTTTTTTGGATAAACTAGTTGTCGCTTATTATCTTCTTTTGCTCTAAATGGGATCGACGTAGTTCATATATAGTGTGGTTGTTTTAAAACTAGTGGCTGAATTAAATTAACCCAAGGATTATCTGTGTTTATGGAAATTTGTAGCTCCACTGTAGCGTTTCTATAATTTTTATATTTAAATTAACGGCGGAACCTCGGTTTTCATTTTAAAGAGCATCAGCACAAGCTCTTCTCTTCCGTCAATGTATGCAGTTAGTTATCTGGACACAACTTGAAGTCTCCCGGATTGCTGCACAAATTCAACTTGTTGACAGTGATCACTCAAATTAGATAAATCATAATTTCACCTAAATTTATGTGGTATCTAAATATTCACTGTGCTATTCACTTCCGGGTTTATCCAATATATGATTAAACTTTCAAACTAAGTCTCGGGTTTCTCGATAGGAAAATATATAAAACTAAATAAAAATACTTGCATCAATGAATCAACAGTTGGATTACATCCTAGCAGTGCCTTCTGTTCCCATTTGGTTGTTACTAAACTTTTGCCTAATAATGTATTTTCATTACTTGTTTATTACCACTAATACTTCCACGACCAAATCATCCAGCTCAGAGAACAAAACTCCACTAATACTTCCCTTTAGGAGAATGATATTTTGAAGATTACTCTATTTTAAATAAATATAACTTACAATCAAAATGGTAAATACTTTCCATCATTCATATTATCCAGATGGAGAGATCGAATCTACCCCTTTCTTCCTTTTTTTTTGCAAAATCAAGGGCTTCGTTGCACATTTATGAATTAATTAATTGTCGTTGGGCTGATGAAGTTACTCAACAGTTGGATAATTTGCAATCTCAAGCTACTTCATCTAGATCTGGTATTGGTCAAAATGACTTGCTGGGAGGAGCATCAGTTAATAATGCATTATCAACATCTAGTATTGAGGTGTAAGATTATGATTACTTGTTTGTTTTTTCCTATAAATGTATCTGTTGAAGCTAGTATTAAATATGTATTATACATGTCACACTTGATTCAGTGACTAAGAAATATTTAATTATGAGGTTTAGAGCTTCACATTTTCTATGTAAGGAGAAACATGTGTGGATTCATGCACGAACGATTGGCTCATGGATGATGTATTACTCAGATTGATCACATAGATATTAATTCTTGAGCAGTCCCTACTTTAAAAGTTGGTCAATGGGATTAGTATGGTTCACAATACGTTTCTGTCATTAGTTCTCGTGGTTGTCGAGAAACTTCATTTAGGTGTAAATTAACGAGGCGTTTTTGTCTCTAAATATAGTAAAAATTGGTGGCTTTCCAGTGTCATTTATCAAGTTGAAAAACTAGCACATATGAACCACATCTCTCGCTTTTTGACTGAACTAATTTGGGTGTCTAGGAAGAGTGTTTAATGTTGGTAGTATGTCGTCGATCTCTTCTAAGCGTTTCTACTCTTCGTCGTTTATTGAACGTGTATCATAACGTGACATATTGATAAATAAAAAAATATAAAAGATGGTGGTCTCAGAATATCCTGAATTGAATAGTTGGAAAAATAAACCGTTGGATGCCAACTCATCAATCTAAAGACTGCATACTCACCATAAGACCTAAAGCTTTTGGATTCGATCTATGATATGATCATGGGTGCGCAGCTGTGAGATGTTCCACACTAAAACACAACAGTTCCTAAGTCTTCGGGTTCCCATGGTTGGGTCGCTACAATCGGTTAGTGATATAAACTACTTTCAAATCGGTCAAACTTTACTATGTCGTTTCTAATATATATATATCAAAGTTCTTTACTTGTTTATTTTGGATAATGACTTTCTCCGTAATGGTAATAATAGGCTTTCAGTAGAAGGTGCTTTACATGCATATATGTAAAATCTGAATCTTACCATAATATTCCTCTTTCCCTCTTTGCAATCGGTATTCAGAAATTTTTCAATAATTTCTTAGACATGTCAGTTAATCTAGTGTATTGTGGAGGTTAGTCGAGAAATTCAGCATATTCTCTTACTAGTCTAAACAATACATGTGAAATAGCTTGATAGTATGCCTGGGCAACGTAGTATTGTGAATTGCTTACTGTATCCTTTTTTCCAAACTTGATAATCAACATATAGAATTCTATATCACCGCCAAGATATGTTTTTGCGTTTAATTTTTCAAATTTACTTTATTCGATTATCAATCATGTCGACTGCTCACTCATTATCGATAACCCACTCGTAGGTTTTGCAACACCAGTGAAGTTTCTTTTCTATAGGGGTTTGTTTACATCATGGACTGATCTTAATTAGTCAACCATTGAAGTCAGAAAGCACTAGACTTCTCTTTCATCCTAGCATGGGACTCCTTAGCAGTGGACATCCACGACTCCACTGGGGATGAGACCCAGGGTCTTTGATAACGCATCGAGAGATTCACATTTATACTGCTTATCTGACACGCAACGGTATGCGCGTTTAATTCCAATCAATTCGAAATATTGAGCTGTCATCTATCGCCTGCTGTGGATGACTATTTCTACTCAACATGTTTGAATTTTAATGGTCATTAACCTCGAGATTTGATTGTAGCTGTCCAGTACTTCCTGGTTTTCACTGGTTGCCTAACTAATATATGTCCATGATAAGAATTATATTGTTTAAGTAAATTTCCATTGACTTGTCTCATAATATCGTTCACTGATATATTCATTTGAGACTAAACATTATTCACACATGTATTTTAAATTGGACGATCCGGTAAAAAGGTTTTCGGTAACGTTTTATGGAATTCCTATCTCGTGAAAACTTAAATGAACACTGCTTATTATTATTATTACTATTATTAATGGCTTTATTCAATATTATATTTTGGTACAATATAGAATTCTCAGCACAGGGTATTTCAACAAGTTTCTTATGCAAAAAAGGGCTTAAAAAAAACCCCGAAAAACTGTACAACTTTCCAAATTAGAGACATGTTAAGAATGCATGTTATTGACTAGGTTAACTCTAACAACTTGTTCGTCACAGAGTATATTTGCTAGGTAAGGTATTATAGAACTTTTATACTTTTGCTTACGTGCATGGATTTTAATGTAATTACGTCTCGTTCTACCAGAAGATATACAAGGAGAAAGATAAGAGTGAAGGGAATGGTTAGTATCTGATAAAATAACACCTGCCAGGAGTTTGCATGACTTTAGATATCTATCCACAACCATATTAATTATGACCTTGAAAGATTCACCACACACCTTGCTAACTGCCTTCAGCACTCTCCGTAATACAGCAGAGTCTTTTCTCAAAAGCCCGGGAAAGAATAATGGGGAACAGTAAAGAATAATAGGTAATATGCAAGAATTGACAAATTGTAAGAGTAAATGCAGTCAGACGGAAAACCTTCTTCGATAACAATAAAACGCAAGAAGACCAAGAGAGATCAGAGGAAAATGTTAGATTGAAATGTACTCTTAATTGAGTTAGTTGCTCTCACTACTCTCAATCACACGCTGATCACGTTGAGTGCTGCTGTTTCTCACGACGGTGTATACCGCATATAATTATTCCTTCCGTAGAAATATACGTAGATACATGTGTGAATACCTTCGTTTGCTTAAAATCAAGTATTAAACAGCTGTTTTCCGTTTAATTTATGTCTCTTAGTTCACTTGTATTGTTCAGCCTCTTTAGCTATCTGAATTTATTCAGATTTGACTCATTGTTAGTACATAATGTTTCATTAACTATGTTTGGTTGCTCTCCATGCATTAGTCGACTTTTCGAGTCGATTCGATTTTGTTGATTATGCCTTTTCAGATTACTCACTCAAAGGGAATATTCTAAATCGGTTTTTCGTATATTGTTATCTGCTTTGATAATTTGTTCTTCACTTTTCTGTCTTAGTGGATCGAGTACTTTGCTTTTCATTTTGCAACTGATGTAATTAGAGTTAGTCAACGAAGAATGATGTTCATTAATTTCTTTATTTCGGGTTCGTTCCTTGGTTTATAATTTGCATCCAGACTAACCTCTTCAGTATTTTTCTGGAATCGCTCAAAAATAATCTCCAACTTTGTCTTCTCATTTACGATCATTTCTTACCAATTACCACTTTCTCGATTCGAATTCACACTAGCTGGTATTTTGAAGTTCTCTCAGTTCAAGTGAAATTAAAAGAAATTGTTAGACGAGTACCTATATTTGACTATTATCTTTTGGATTATGTATTCTGTACTCCACAATTTAAGCTATGGAAGTTGAATTCACTTCATTTCTATATCACGTCAAATTCTATCGGTTTTTATTATCTTTACGCATTATAAGCCTCTCTACAGATCCACCTTAGTGAATGACAGTCTTATATTCACTAATTTATCATTGTGCGGTGAATTTTTTCCAAACTTCTAATGATGAATCATTACATATGAAACCACTAATTCGAAAGTTGAACAGAAACCTTCCGGTGATATCAAATATTAATCACGGTGTTTTCTAAATGGCGTGAAATCGGGGGTTGCAATTCACACAGAATTTGTGCTCAGTAATAGTATTATGCTGCGGTTTCGATTCTGTATGGTGTGAGTGCACATCGGGAGAATAAATGTTTCAAACTAGGAAAAAAAATTGTCTAACCTCTCAGTCTGTCATGAGATTTATGATATATACAAGATAATTGACTAAACTATCTCCATTTTATTATCAGTAACAACAAATTATTTTCTTTCTCTTCATCCCCATTGTTTTCTTCTGAATTGGGATTAAATTGAATAAATTTTCTACATCATTGGATTGTTTCAAGTTGTGAATTGCACAATGAACGCTTATCTGTATTTTGTACAACATGTGGCTATGCTATCTGTCACCAATGTGCATTATTTGATAATGATCATGAACAGCATTCATTTCGTCCATTAGATGATGTTTATAATGAACATGTAAAACAGATAAAGAATGAAATGGATCAATTTAAACGTAGACATTTAGAATTAATATCATTACTTCAAGATGTTGTAAGTTGGTGTTTCTTTCGTTCTTCTGTTACATTGTTTTTGTTGTTGTTGCTTTTTTCATCACTAAAACTTTCGGTCAATTAATTGTTATTACTGTTTTCTAAGAACACTATCAATATGTATTGTTAGTAGTTAAGTCAAGTATGTGAAAAATGAAACAGTCAATACATCTTGTACTGTCATCACAAAGTAGTTGCAATTTCAAATGCATAGTACTTTCAGCAAATTCTAAGGTTCCACTTGTCATTGGCGAACATTTTTAAACGGTCATCTAGTAATCTCTGGTTTTCAATAGTCCTTCACCTATTAGTATCCTAAATTATCTTCAAATTAAATGATAGATTAAAATTGTATGAAAAGTGAAATTAGAATATCAAAACTAAACTAAACAATTAACAATAGCAGAGAAAATCAAGACACACCGAATACAGAGCATCAAACAAGAAAGTCAAGAGGAATATTATAGCCGAAAAGCAGAAATGTGTTGGAGATCTAGCAACGACAACGGGAAAAGCTGCAAGAGAAGGAAATATGAAACAACTATGTGATACGACGAAGGAACTAGCAGGGAACTACAGTAAATAAGAGAGACCAATCAGGGATAAAGGAGACAAGCCAATCACTGTCATTCGAGAACAGAGGAAAGGGTGGAGTGAGGATGGTCCGCGGGTGAACTCGAAGAAGCTGTAAGAAGCTCAGAAAGAGCCAAAGATATTCCATCCAATCACCTTTTAGAAGAATTCTAGAATGCCTACATGTAGCTTCCCGATTGGACAATGCTAATAAACCCCTGTATATGGATTGGAGGACTGTAATTATGATCTCATTTTTACTAAAAACTATAAATATCTAAGTTTTGTATTATAACTGACACCGTCTGGAATAACATTCCTTTCACTAGTCTTCGGTCTTCTCATTGCGATTTGGAAGGGTTCTAGCGTTCAAGTGCTCAAGTTATACGCGTCATATCAAGAACATAAGCTCTAGATATAACAGGTGGATAGGACACTATAAAGAATTCTTGAATATACTGGACCCACCGGACATCAAAGCAGCAGACACTAACTTTCCTATAGTTGGCTCTCCACCAACGATCGAAGAAATCAGGATCGCCGGTCATCAGACAAATCAAGAGTGGGAAAGCAGCAGGACCTGACAATATACCAGCCGAAGCACCGAAGTCAGACATAGAAGTGACTGCACGCATGTCTCATGTTCTATTCAGGAAGATTTGGGAAGAAGAATAAGTGCAGACGGACTGGAAAGAAGGATGCATCATCAAGATACCAAAGAAAGGAAATCTGAACAAATGTGAGGACTACAGAGGCATCACCCTATTATAGGTATCAGGAAAAGTTCTCAACAGAGTATTACTAAACCAGATGAAAAATTCAGTAGATGTCCAACTTCGAGATCAACAGGCGGGATTCCATAAGGATCGGTTGTGCACAGACGAAATCGTGACACTCAGGATCATCGTTGAACAATCAGTTGAATAGCCGGTAAGAGTAAAGGATATTCGTAGGCTACTAGTATTCGATCATAGGTGTCTTCAAACCATTGCTCATATATCCTGGGACCACCGAGTAAGTAATGAAGCTGCAAAGTCGTGCATCGATGACAGCTGAGAAATGTATTCCAAGTGAGGACATGAGTCAGGCAGGGCTGCTTACTCTCCCCTTTTCTTTTTCTTCTAGTGATTCACTGGATTATGAAGACCTCCACATCTGAGGGGAAGCACGGAATACAATGAACAGATTGGATGCAACTAAACGATTAGGACTTGGCAGACGACACAGCTAGTCTAGACCACACACACTAACAGATGCAGGTCAAGAAAAACAGTGTACCATAAGTCTCTACATCAGTAGGCCTCAACATACACAAGGGAAAAAGCAAACTCCTCAAATACAACACAGAGAACACCAAACCAACCACACTTGATGGAGAAACTCTAGAAGAGGTGGAAACATTCATGTATCTGTGAAGCACCATCGATTAACAAGCAGCATCTGATGCAGATGTGAAGGCAAGCATTGACAAAGGGTGACATTTCTGCAGTTGAAAAACATGGAACCCGAGACAACTGTCAGCCAACATCAAAGATAAGATCTTCAATACGAACATCAAGACAGTTCTACTGTACGGAGACGAAACTTCGAGAACTACCACAACAATCAACAAAAAGGTAAAAGTACTTATGAACAATTGTCTACGCAAGATACTCAATGTTCGTTGGTTGGATACCATCAGCAACAGTCTACTGTGGGAGAGAAGCCAGCTTTCAGCCGAAGAGGAAAGTAGGAAAAGACGTTGGAAGTGGATAGGATACACACTTAGGAAATCATTAAACTGCATCATGAAGCAAGCGCTAACTTGGAATCCTGAAGGTAAACGGAAAAGAAGAAGGCCATAGAACACACTACGTTGGGAATTGGAAGCAGATATGAAAAGGACGAATAACAGCTGGAAAGGATTGCCCAGGACGGAGTTACATGGAGAATCCTGATCGTCGACTCGTGCACCTCCACTAGGGTTGACAGACCTATGTAAGTTTAATACAGTTTACATAAACAAAGTATATTATTCCAAAGATCAAATAAAATGTCGAAACCTTCCTAGTAATGGTAAAAATCTGTATGTGGTGGAAAGATATCCAAATGATTTCTTTTCGTGTTTAACAAGTTTGTCTGTACATGATGAACGAGAAAGTCTTAAAAAAATCTTAAACTATTGATAATATAACCACCGTAGTAACCATATTTGTATAGGTTTAAACATGTTACGTCAAAAATCTCCAATTCACAGTTGACTTTTTAACTGCTCTGACTTTTCATTACATATCGTTTCTTCAAAACTAATTTTGAAATACTTGTGCAACTTGTTGTTTGTCTATTAGATATTTTTTAGATTGTGACGATAACCATGCCTTGATAAATCCAGGCTCCTAGATAATCGTCAGTTCGTCTTCCTACTGTCATAATCAGTCGTCAAAACTCGCTAATTATCTCAGCAAAATCCTGAGCAATAGCTTAAACAAATTACGTTATTACTTTTGTTAATACGGATAGAATAATACGGAGAATCTTCATACATTTTTACTATATAATCATTTAGCGACTGAATTGTTATATTTTCATATTCCCCTTGTCGTAAGCTTCCCCTGTACTCATTAACTACTGTTTTATTTTTTTTTACCGTTCCTTCATTATTCCTGATTAGTTATTCACCTTTTGCCTTTGTTCTATCACTTGGCTTGGTTGTGCATGAATTATTATTTCTGGTTTGCCGGACAGTGACGTTTGTTAATTTATGTACATAAACCCATGAGTGTCTGAAATATAACGATAAAAGGTTTTCAGTTCGTCGTTTTCTTACTTTGGACTCAATACCGGACTGGAGGAAAGGATGCATCCTGTACCAATAAGCGTTGAGAATTATCTTGGTTGCTGCTGAAAGCTGGTTGATGTCGGTCACTGTAATTAATCAAAGCTAAGGTCGTCGGTCTAAAGCGGAAAGCATACTTGACTTACCGTATTACAAACCGGATTCGTATTGGTGGAATCATATCTAGTGATTCAATCAGGGTCATATAAAAGACTCGAGAAAATAAGAATTTTGTTATGTTTGCATAATTCTTCGCTTAAGTACTGCCAAGTCCGTAATGATTTCTATTGTCATTTCTTCCATTTAGTACTTGGTAATTCATCTAGGGATATGTGAGTGATTCTGTTTCCGTAACCTAACTGCTCTATATGCTAATAATCGATATCTCAAAGTGGAATTCGCCTATTTTTAGCCCAACAATCAGAACATTAAGATTACCTCAATATCTTTTATTATTCGAACTCAAAAACATCACTATATATATAAATAATCGTTTTGACAGTCTTAACATTAAACTGAATATTACATCTGTTGGTCAATTGACTGTGATCTGTCGACAACGATTAACAAAGAATTCTAGAGCGAACAATTGTTTTCAATAACTTCGTCATCAGGCTTAATAGTTATAAGTACATAATTATTGTACTGCAATGGCCAAAATAAGCCCTTTTAGTTAGTTAAACAATGATACGTTGAAAAAATAGAGTTAACCTTAGAAGACCAAAGGAGGTATGTTCAACCTCCATGTTTACTTTGGTTAACGATTAGATAATGGCATACCTGGATCAGACATTGTATACCCTTGCGCTGGAACCGAGTCACAGAGTGAACGTCAACTTTGGGATGCAGGTAGGTCCAGCTGACGAGTCCCAAATAGGACGAAACGCGCGTACTGGATTCCACTGCTAGCCAACATTTTTCTTTGCTTATAACGTTTGTGTTTAACTGCCTCCATGTATATTTATGCTTTACCCAATTCTTAATTTACACATTTATCTTACTCAATTCACATAAATTTCTTTTCATAATTCACCTGGTAACACCTCTCTAACTACACCTTTTCGTTCACACGCAATTATTATTATTAGTCGTTATTATTATTAATCATTATTATTATTGTTAGCGTGAACTGTACACTTTCATACACGGAGTTAGTTACACTAAACAACCCTTGCTTATTTTGACATGAAGTTCCACCTGGAATAGGTAATAATTTAAGAAAGGCTATTAGCAGCCAAACTAACATGACGCCAGTCCTACAAGTCATTGACTGTTAGTCTGTGCAGTGTGTGAAATTGTAAACTATCATACTAAGTTTGCAATCAATGGTTGAAGGTTAAGTTGACCTCAATGATGCTGTCACATTCATTCTTTATCTTCTACATTTTAGCTTACTATTATTTTGCACTTTTCATCCCTCCAGATTAATTAGCTTTTTTGAACCATGTTCTCTGTGTTTAGTTTCTCACTGAACTACACATTATTCTTCCTCCTCTTCCACTTTTAGTATGATAACTTCCTCCTCTTGTTTGCTATATATTAGGTATGGAAACTTGGGTTGATAAGAATTACTGGGTCCTATTTAACCTATGATTTATTGACTTACCAGCTTGGTCATTTTCTTTCTCCTTTTATAATAATTATTTTTCGAGTTCCCTAGATCGAATAGTTTTGCTCCTTTTTAATTTTATTTTGATAATAATACTGATTATTGTTATTGAAATAGGAGAAGAATGTACAGGCTGTAAAACAAGCCAAAGAAGAACGTGTTCGAGAATTACGCAATGCAGTTGAATTAATGGTAGCGCGTTTAGATTCACAACTAAAATCGAAACTAGTTACTCTAATGAGTCAACGTAGTCAATTATTTCAAGTGAGTTAAATTTGTTTTTCAAATTACACTCAACAAACATAAAATCAGTCCTCTCTGTTAATGTTGTTTATGACTGTTTGTCTATTCAGATTTTTTCACTTTCATGTGTCTTTACATTCTCATCGACTTTTCTGTCCGGTTAACCTTTTAATCTTTACTCACTTTTTCTATATGGATTGGTAAATTGTCCATTCGCTTACCGATTGGGAGTTGATCTGTATTACATCTGGAAATTTCCCTGTTCAAACTTTTAACATTTTCAATAGAATTTATGTTCTTAAATTTCTGCGTACATCGATAAAACTAATAACATATTTTATCGTGTGGGGCTGATAGTCAATGTTAATGTACGTTTGAACGAGATCACTCACTTCGTCCAGTGTAACGTTTTTTGCCTTTGGCTCAATTCCTTCTTATAGATGACAACTCACTAGTCTACCTTTGATTTTATTATTTTCAGTTTGTCTTAAAACAAATTGAAGTCATTGTGTTGGCTTATTAGAGATGTTGATTCTTAAAGGTCTCCTTTAGTGTTCGACAGTTTCTGATTCGAGTTCTCGGAAAGCCAGTGTTTATTCAAAAGGAATTACTATAAACTGAAATAATCTATTTCGTACCCTCTTGATTTTCAATAATTTTTTTTAACTAGAAAATACCACTTTCTTAGCTTGTCATATATATATGGATATCATGTACATTTTCTCCATTGCTTTCGAAAATTTTCATTTTGTTTTATTTATTAGGAAATTGAATCACTTGAAAATCTTTTGCATGATGTTCAATATGCGGTAGATGTTGCGAAACCGTCTGAAATGGTAGAACGATCATCTGAAATTTTAGCACTGCTTAGTGATGTACATTGTAAACCTATGGCTTCGTTTGTTAGTGCGCCTGTACCAGCTGACTTTGTAAGGTGATTAAATTAGTGTATTGTTTTTAAATTGTATTGGTTGTTATCTATCTCATCTAATCAGATCCAATAATAGTTATGCGCTATCGGACGTTAATTATTGCAGCATTAAACTTGTGAGTAAAGTGTTATTCACTTATAAAATTTGTTACGAATGACAGTGTATCATGATTTAAATAAATTAACAACGTAGTGGTCACTTAGTCATACTCAGCACACAACCTGTTATCCCTACCTAATACCCCTGTTCTAACCTCAGAATTGGTTACTCAGTAGTATTACCATATGCAAGCAGTTCTTCGAAGGTATCTATGATCAAGTATCAGTAATACAAGAATAGCCCTCCTTTGTAAATGCCACATTTCACGGTCATAGTGTAGAACACAGTGAACTTCTGAGCAACAAACTTGCCCTTTGGGTGGTAAATGGACATCTCTCTTGGAACAGCAGTGACGTAATTTGTCAGAAACCAACCATGCTTCCTGAATTTGTGCCAAGATTTCATCAGACACCAACCCACTAGGGGAAAGTGAGTTGGCAAAATGCTTCAAAGTATTAGTTGTTTAAAATGTAGTATGCGATCCAGTAAATCTCAGAGCTAACTAGTGTATACTTTTATAGTTATGATTGGATCAGGATTGAAGACAGCACAGCGAACACGCTCGATTGTATCCAAATTAGAACAGCACTGTTAGATTTTCATAAAATAATTTTTTCATTGGAAACACTACAAGTGGTCGGCCCCCTTAACTATTTCATTGCCTATAATTAATGGAAGCGTTAATAAAGATCAGTCCTGCAACAAAGTTTTACATTTAAAGGGAGAGAAACGCATCTCAAACATGATTGCATTGTTGCTCAAGGCGATCAGAAGACTGTATTTTCTCAGCATCTTCGTCAAATAGGGTTGTGTCATCTGCATATTTCACGTCAGCAAGAGAATCTCCTGGTGGGAGTCGAATTCAGGCGATCCTAGTGTTATCTCAATAAGAATGTTTTTGACAAAGTTGAATGAGAATAAAGTAAGCTGACAACTCCGTGCTTGATAAAATCAAGTGGTGTTTTTATGGGATTTGAATTTTCTAGGTTGTGATTCAAAAAGGTTTAAAACACCATAATATAATGAAACCGTTGGTCAATAGCTTTTCTAGTAAAGCTTTCAATTAATTTCTCAAAGGTGAATCATGAAATTAACAAACAACTGGACTGTTCTAATACTCAAACATCGTGTATCAACAATTTTCATACTGTAGTATCACTAGAAGTGTTTTTTTATTAATACTAGACTGCGGCATACATTATGAGTTAAAAAGTGGTGTGATAGAAAACGTATTTAAATTATGTGGTTCTTAAAAGTTTTACTAACTGTTTTCTTAATGGGTAACTCACTATCATAGTTTTTAGTCAATTATTATTGTCTCCAAATGATTGCGCAACGTTTTTACAAGTAGACGAATCTCCCGAGACCGATTTAGTTTCCATAACAAGTAACTAAGCCTTTGAAAGGGATGATCTATGGCTTATTCGGTGACTTGATATATCGATGTAAGATAATAAGTGAATGTATTAAGAATCTCCTTTCATCAAGCCAATAGTGTGTACTGCGATACTCACATCTTGAAAAGATATTAACTCTAGTTCAGACTATTTATTAATAGAAAGTAGTATAGCGTCAAACACTAAAAAAGACGTCACGCCATAGGGTAATGAGTTAATTTAATTACTTGAAGTAACCTTATCCTAATTATTTTCTGTAGTTCTTCACGATAATTTCAAACGTTCCGAAAGTTTGTTTTTGAAGAAAGGCAAGAATTGGAATGACAACGGTTACCAATAATAACCTTCACAATTGATTGATCACTGGGTGGTGATCAATGTCATGCTTGTCTAGTCCTTATTAGTGCAGATCGAATGCTATCGATCACGTTGCAATGTGGCCACCAGTCTAGGTGACTCGACACTGCGGGCACTATGTATTGAGATTTAGATGGTAGTTGGAGGTAGTCAACAGGAAACCCTGGACCCGGATTTCGTGCTACTTGGCACTCATCAGCAAGGTGTACCTGTAATCTTGAGGGAACTGGTGCTCCCTGGCGGATTCGATCTCGTGTCACCCAGCTTCACAGTCAGAGACATCTCAGTCCTACAGGAGGTTGGTCACGGCTCGGATAGCTCAGTGGTAACGTCTCTGACTGTGTAAGCTGGATGACACGAGATCGAATCCGCCAGGGAGCACCAGTTCCCTCAAGATTACAGGTACACCTTGCTGACGAGTGCCAAGTAGCGCGAAACCCGGGTCCAGGGTTTCCTGTTGACTACCTCCAACTACCATCTAAATCTCAATAATAACCTTGTTCCACACCAAATCTTACTTCAATGTAAAATTTCAATACATATTTGGTTGTAAGCAGCTGATGAGAAACCACGAAATATAGTAAATTCATAAAGGGAACTAATTGCATGGAGGTTTGTTTTTGGCTATCGTCCTATAAGTTAGGAAGCAATGCATTAGGTTGAATATCTTTGATATGTTTGTTCGCTTTGTTATCTCTGTTCTTCTAATGTTTTTGTCTTTTTTCCATATCACTTATTTTTAGTGAAATTGTACCTCCTTATGAATCGAGTACATTCACACTCCAGCCTTATTCCATTATGAAACAAAGAGCTGATCCTGTATATAGTCAACCATTACATGTAGGTGGTTTAAGCTGGCGTCTTAAAGTTTATCCTGATGGGAATGGTGTTGTACGTGGTAATTATTTATCGGTGTTTTTAGAATTGTCTGCTGGATTATTAGAAGCATCCAAGTGAGTATTCCTCATTTTGATTCTTTGATTGTTTTATTACTCATGAGGACATGCCACCGATTTTTTGAATGCAGCATTTTAAATGTTTGGTTTTATGTTAGCTACTTGACTAATATCACACTGTATCCAGTAGTTTATATCGTTTTATTCTATCCATTGTTATCTCTAAAATTATCTTACTTGTTTTCATCTTTTCTTAGTTGTTTCTATTTTTCTAGCGAGAACACTGACCTCATCATTAGTCCAACACATACATGAATCACGTGACCTAAAAAATTGCATCAACAGTTCATTGACTATGACAATCAAACAACTGAGTAGTATTCCAGATCATTATTATTTATATTAGTGTTGTTTAATTAGGTTTGAAATTGATTCTCTGCGGAGAGAGATTGATTTTCCTTCATATATGCTGTTACGTGAAGTTTCTAAAGTTGTTTCAAGAAATTCCTTAAATAAAGTCTCAGTTACTGTTAAATGAAGTTCTTCTAGGTTTTCCATGGTGGTCTAGCCTCAGTTGACTCATGATTTCAACCATTAAAATTTCTATAATATCTACAAAACCCGTTCTGATACTTATCACTAGTGACTGGGTTCAAGAAGCTTTTCCTGGAGTTCTAGTGAGAAACAGTGACCAGTGGAGTTCAACCAGGTCTGTTGTGAGATGGTAAGTCACTGAAGACAATGGTGGGTGTGTTGCTCAATCTCGTGGATTAGTCGAATTCAGACATTAACACCACTGGATACCGTCTCAATGATCCAGAGGTTAGGCATTCGCGCGCGAGACCGATAGGTCCTGGATTCGAATCTTGCGAGGCAGAGTCGTGGATGCGCACTGCTGAGGAGTCCCACGATATGACGGGACGGCATTCCAGTGCTTCCAGGTTTTCCATGGTGGCCTAGCTTCAATTGACTCGTGATCTCAATTATTAATATTAAAATTACTATAATATACACAAAACCCCTTCTGTTATTAAATGAAACAAATTTTTATTGGTAACCTTGCAAAATAGTAAGATTTATGAATTTAAATTAGTAATTCACATAGAGAAACATGAATGTTCTTATTTAATGAAGCTTTTGTAGAAATAAATTACATTAATCATGAAGAGGTAATCCTCAGCATATGATTCTCTCCGACAATCCTAAAGCTTTAATAATTATAGCTATTAGCTTCCATTATCTCCAAGTATCCACAACATTTTCGTCATTCATATGATGTATGGTTATTCTCACACTTAAGATTATCGTTCACGTTAAAACTCGAAAGCAACTCGCTTCACAAGCATAAATCACATATGAAAAATAACCAGAGTTGTAGCAAATCACATGTTAATTAAATAGAAGAATGTTTTATCTTAAAATGACATCACACTGAAAAACAAAACAAATACTACACTGAGTAATTATCACATTGAATTAAAAACGGAAATAATGGTGAACAAGAAGCCTCAATGGGTAAAAGAATGTAATTTTGTCTTCTCATCCTGTCATATCAATCACTATGAATCAATGGATTCCATGTAGTGGTATGAACCATTTGGATATACATGGAATCATTAAGCAGAATATGTATCCACTTCTTTTATAAAAATATGGTTGAAGTTAGACATTAACGCCGTTGGATGCCGTATAAGTGGTCTAGTAGTTGAGTGCTCGCGCGCTAAACCATTAGGTCCTGGGTTCGGATCCCGCGGGGTGCAGGGTCGTGGGTGCGTGCTGCTGAGGCGTCCCGTACTAGGACGAAACGGTCGTCCAGTGCTTCCAGGTTTTCCATGGTGGTCTAGCTTCAATTGACTCATGATTTTAACCTGTGAAATTTCTAGAAATCTCCACAAAACCCATTCTGATAAGTATAGAAGTGACCAGATTGTTTAAAATGTACAGCTCAAATATATCAATTTTTTTCATATCAACTCCGTCTTCTCATTGTTTTATCAAAATTTATGAAACCGACTAATTGCTTTAAATTGATTAAACTAATCTTATTATAATATCTGTAAACATAATCAAACTGTGTATAGGGTCAAGGTGATTTATCATAACATTTATGGTGCACTTTAAAGTAACAAGGTCAATCACGTGTACCGCAGGGGGGGGCTTTAGATTGTAAATTGTATGTGTGTATGTGTGGATCTGTCCTGTATGCTGTACTTTACAATCGTTTACATGATTTTTATCAGATTCATTTTCGCCTTTTTCCACCCAGTTAGTGTTAACCAACACATAGCGGCTCAGTAGAACAACAATGAGTCATTGGGGTGATTTCAATCGATAAGTCTAGAAAAATATCGTTCGATATGAAATTCAGACAAAGGTGATTAGCAATAACAGTAGTGATTGGTTAATAGTACTGTAAGATAAGTTCAGCCTTGATTTTTAGTCATAATAAGGAAAATCGATAATTTCATGAACACTATCAAATTCGTTAGTAGGTTAGGATGTGATCATTTTATTTATATTTATTTGAACACATAAATATTGGTACAGTGGGCACCGAATACATATGCGCCACACAAGTCACTTGATTTTTATGTGGGCTGTGATACTGCCCATGTACCCAGACCGAAGCAGATGGTTTTCTCAGGGGGTCACATCCTAAACCTTCGACTCAAAAGTCTGATCCATAAGGCAGTGGAGCAACGTCAGGAGTCGCAGTCCCGTGGTAGCCAGTGCCCAACGATTGGCTCATATGCCATTTGTTCCCTCAGGATACTGGAGCCTATGTGCACCATTAGTTTGGAATCAAGGTTTTTCGACTTCCCTTGGTGGATCCACGATATCCACCGACCCGGTTAAAGCACTGGACATTCACTTTTCGTCCTTTCAATTTCGTTAACAAACCCCCACCCCGATAAGGCAGTGAGTAGGAGTTTTCTGGCAGTGGCTGTATACTCGTGGCCATGTGAGAGCATTTCTAGAGAGCTGAATCTCCCCACCCTCGGCTATACCTGGTCATTTGGGGGCCAAATAAAAAAATGTACTGTTTGTTGAACTAACCCATGTCGGAAGGTGCATGTAGTATGGTTGAAGTCCTGACAACTATTTCAGTCAGGGGTTCAAGGTCTTAGATTAAATAAACGCGAAACTGATAATCCTCGAACATATACAATTCACTTTTCAATTGTCGAATATATATTTGTATCAGATTCTACTTTCTTTATGGCTGATTTAATTACTGAAAAACATTTATGTTGCTAAGAATGCCTTGTTGAAAGCATTAAGCTAGATAATTAACTGCTTGTTACTCGTTAGTAAATATGAGTTAGATAAATGTTTAAAAGTTGTTACACTGATAGTTGAAGAAGTTCTAGCAGTCATTTCCAACTAAACTGCTGACTCACTAATAACGTATTAGTTATGTAAATGGAAATTACTAATTCTGACTGTATATAGGGCTCTGTTGTGTACAACAACTATCTAATTCCATAGTATCACAAAATGATTGTAAGATTTTCTATTGATTTTCAGTAATTATATGGTTGATCTCAGTACGAATAGGGTAAATGACGAGTTTCTTTCAAACTTTTTAGTTTATTGATGAATTGGAGAACCAGTTATGGAATTTGAATTACATTGAGTTGTAAAATTAAAAACAAGACGTCGAAACTAAGAGTTTATTGGAAGCTTGTGTTCACGGAAGTATGAGACTATTCAATGAAGGATTCTACCAATAATTTAAGAAACTAAATAGTAACAGCGATAATGAGATGAATAAATCAAACATACAAGATAACGAAACGTCTGACCTGATACAATGTCGTATTAACTTAAACGGTTCAAACGTGATTTTAGTACGGTCAAACTAACTTGAAGAAAATAAGTCATTTAAAACAAAAATAATGGAGTTATATATTAGAAAAAGAAACAAGAAAATTTAAGAAATGGAACATGTGAAATTATTTGGTATTAAATCTGATTTTCTTGTCAGATTCAGAACATCTGGAATGTCTAGTCCACTTCAAATCAAAGGTCAATGAAATTATAGACTAATGCCAAGTGTTTGTATGATTCACCCTTAGCTTCACACTTATGTATACGGTAACTGGGCTTGCGTAACTATTTAGTTCTCTGGGTGTTTACAACTTAACAGGTGTACTGCCCTTAAGCTAGATTATAATCACCACCTCAGTGTGATTAAATACCTTCAATCTAGTAATCCCTTCGGTTGTCAGCAAGTTAACTTTTTGTAAAACTAAGCAGTTATTAAGGCTGATTCGAAAACCAGGTTTTGTTCCTGGTTCGCGAGAATCATATGTAGAACTTTCCTACATTTGTTACTCGGAGCGTACTTGAGGTTGCATTTCTCTCGGATCTCCAACTTCAAGACTTTGTTGTTTATGTTCTCGAGACTAATTAGAAGCTTTTTCTGGGAAACAGACCGGTCCTCGAAACTTTGGATTGATCAAATGTTAGTTTTAACACAGCATATTTATGAAGAAATTAAACAAAATTAAAAATTTGAATAATTGTAATTCCTGGTTTTCCATAGTTTTGCTATTTTCGATCATTATAGGTCATGTTTAATAGGGTTAGTTAACCTGTAATTATCACAACAGACCTTCAGTAATCGAAATTAAATAATATAGAACTAACTGATAACTTCATTTAGTTTAGTTAAAAAACATTTACTGCAATCTTCAAATATATTCATAATTAACGCGTTAGATTCTGATATTTTTTCCCATTTGAAGTTTGGGGAATTTTTTTCTTGTTTGCTAAAAGTTGAAGACTATCTGGATGTAACATACAAATTCTTTTGTGGATCGTGGCTAACTTAATTTTAGTTAGAGGGCAGTTGAAATGTTACTCCCGTCATTTTGGTAGATCTTTGATTCATCTCTATCCCAACTGCCAGACTTCTTAACTACTAGTTTCCTTTAGTCCTCTCAATAATTGTCTACTGTGTAACATCACCGCTTCATTTCGTATCTTTTGTTCACGACAAATGTTTAATGTTTTCATCCGCCCTACATCAAAACTACTTGAAAATCAGATATTAAACACTCATTGTTTTTATTGTTGCTTGTTCAACATACTAAGGATGATACCAAATTATCTTGAGATGAAAATTATCGTTTTGTCCAATCTAGTATATAACCCTTATTTTCCTTTCTTCATCCTATGCATAGGGAACATTCAACAAAGATGCGTACAGACGCCTAATACTTTCATCCATTTTACACCGTGAATTATTGAATAATTATATTTATTGAAGACATGCCGTTTATCCTACTGTTTTAAAATAAATCTTATAATTACCCTTCCTTTTAGATATGAATATCGTGTAGAAATGGTTCATCAACAATCTCGTGATCCTAGTCGCAATATTGTACGTGAATTCGCTTCACATTTTGAAGTTGGTGAATGTTGGGGTTATAATCGTTTCTTCCGTTTGGACTTATTAGTTAATGAAGGTTATTTAAATAGTGAAACAGACTCGATACTACTTAAATTCCAAGTAATTTGTGTATTTTTACTTTTGGTTTTACACTTTTTAATTGCTTACATTACTTTCCGTAACTAGACAACGGAGAACCATAAATGCCCTTCGACCTAAGTTGCTATATTTTAGCTTAGTGCAACGAGTTTAAAAATTAACACTACAAAAAACAAAGATGTTGAATTTATTAATTAATGTTTTTTTATTTGGCTGAATCTAACCTGTTCTAAATCTCCTTCCATGCCGGGTAGCATCGAATATTGATTTGATAAGTGTGTGACCTACATTGGCCATCTTAGTTCATGAAGTTACAGTTTCATTAGTTGATTTACTATCTGAAACTGTACTCCTTAACTCACTAATACTCAGTCGGTTCATCCAGTACTTCGGAAATAAATACTTACCATCTACACATCTACTTTCATTAACTGTCTCATAGGCATAACGTAAAACATACCGGACTACCACAAACTATACTCGTCCTTTTTTAGGTAGGTGAACATCTCTTCATTTTCACAGGTGGTGTGTGTTAACAAAAACCAAGGGACCCTTTTTATATTTATGCAAATATCACATCACTAAGTAACACCACATCTGGTCTGATGAGAACCAATAAGTACGATCAACAAATTTGTTCTTCGTAGGTAAATCGATATTCGTGCGATATAATCCGCTCATTTTTGAAATTTTTCCCACTTCAACCACAAACACATACATATATCAGCAGCGGTTTTGTGGAGATTACAGTATATATTTAGATAAATTTGAATAAGGATGTCTACGTAACAAAAAAGATTATCTATTCATAAGATAAGTAAACAATTCAATACAATATCTTACGATAAATAAGTAACTTGAGTCGCAATCAGTAGCAAAAACGTGGGTGGAATAAACTAGAATATAGAAATAAATAAGCAAAAACTCAATGGGAATGTGAAACTGTAATCAGTGTTTTGTAGTCAATGTCAAAATGTGAAAAAAATTCAGATATTTAGTTATTTGTTTGAAATATTAGGATAAAAATTATTTACTATTCAAGCGACTGCGAAAATTGAAGTTAGTCAGTCAGGTACAACGTGAAATCAAGCACATATATGCATCGGTTCAAGTTGCCACACCTCATTAGCACAACAAGATGAACACCGAATTCATAGAAGTAGTCACTTCAATGATAGTAATGTATAAAAGAAAGATTGAATATAAAGATATAGTACAGGAAGAAAGAATTAGTTCGTAGAAGGAAAGGTATAAAGCAATTTCAATCTCACAGTTTAAGGGAAGATAAAGAGTGTATACACCGACACCATTGTGATCGATTCTGAGCCATGTCACACAGTGTCCAACCATTGGTTACTATAGTCGCGCGAACCCTAACCATGTAGTTTGGATCTGCCAACATGGCTCAGACTAGAAGTTAGTGACTTCCAAGACTGATGTCACGCTTTTGTTCGACCTCCCCTATCTTTCTTCCAACTGTCTCCAACACTGGTCAGCCTTACGCGTGGTGGTAGTGTCCAGGCATACGTAACACGTGTCCCAACCATCTCAGTCGATGAAGATTCACAACCTCATCAACTGATCTACCATCACTCTCTAATACTCTGTGTCTAACCTCACTATTACTTACCCGGTGATCCCAGCAGATGCCAGAAATATTTCTAAGGTATCTTCTACTCTTAATTAATGGCCATGTTTCGCCGCCGTAAAGTAGAACGGAACGAACTGTTGCGCAGTATACTCGCCCTTTCATTGATAGACGGATATCTCGCCTTCACCATAGGCGACATTTCCTCAGTGAATAAGTGAACCTCCTGGTAGGAGACCGATCCCTGGAAATTCAATCTACGAGAGCGTTATTTCCAGCAGTTGGTCTATGATGAGATTGAACAAAAATGGAGATAGTGGACAACCTTGCTGGACACCACTTGAGGTTGCAAAATCAGATGGCAGTTCGCCATAAGTTCTGACTCGACTTGTAGTGTTCGAATAAAGAGCCTTCACAAGGTTTATGTACTTCCGAGGTACAACTTCCGATGACACACTGCCACAGAACCTCGATCTACAGAATCAAATGCTGCAATGGACTTAGTAGAAATCCATTTGTTTTTCGTGACCCTTTGGTTTAAATCGTTAATAGATGTTGCTGCTGTTTCCACAGCTGTTCGTATATCTATCCAAGCAACATCTGGTTTGGCCTCGTCTTCAGAACTACCTAAGTGTGACCTCAGTTGTTCCTGGAACTTACTTTTGGTTTTCTCGTTACTCAACTCAGTTCTAATGGGTCTTTTTAATGTGAATTTTTTTGCGTCCAGTGAGGCGCAAGCAGATGCGTGCCCGTATTAGGGCATGGTCGGAGTCCAAGTAGGTATTCAACATCACATGCAGTTTACTTAATTGCAATGTAATTTTATCGAACTGGAGGAATATTTGTAGTGATTGTATAATTTGAAGTTGGCTTTTATCACGAAATGGTGTCAGTTGGGGATTTATTTAGGATCATGGGGTACTAGGCAGCTATTTCATCTCAGTTTGTAATTTATAATCAGGGATAGAGCATCTGATGTTGAAACTCAGTGGTCTACAGGTAACGGACTCATCAGAAAGTTTGGAGTTCCTGTAACCAATACCTGACTCGATCGTAAGTATCCCCAACCAAGGAACTTAAGACGGATTGAAATAGCTATTCAGTCCTCTCTGTTTTTCAATGGTTCTCTAACTGAAGTAAGTTTGTGTTGTAGGATGACGTGAAATTGAACGATATACATTAAACTCCCATCATAATTACTGTAATCGACAGGTCATAAAATTGTAAATTTATTTGTCTTTCATGTATAAAGCTTCAATAAAGTCATTGGTAGTGAAAGTTACCATTGATTATTATTGTTGTTGATAATTTTTAGCGATTATAACTTCTTCCTTTAAAAAAAATTAGGTAAGAGCGCCAACTTACTTTCAAAAGTGTCGTGACCAAATTGGCATATTTCACAACTTGAAGCGAATCAAGGTCATTGTTTTACGCAGTTAGCTGAATTAAAGGAACGTTTATCTATTGAAGTAGCTAGACAAACAAATATTATTTCTGTTGCTACTACTAATACTGCTACTGCTCCCTCTCCCAATACTGATATTTTTAATTCAACTGTTGTTACTACAACAAGTAGTACTTCTGTTATTTGTCTACAGTCAACAGATGCATTAAAACCTTCAAGTTGTCTCTCGGATCCCACTTCTTCTTCTTCTGCAATTAGTCAGTCAACATATATTATGACAACTCCTTCTCCACTTCAGCTTCAGTCACCATTATCATTACTTACACAACCTATTAATGAAGAATTTACTGATAATTATACTAATGAGTCGAATAAGTATGTAGCATCTGTTCCAGAAATGAAAATCAAGATTGTATAAACATGGATCGAAATGATTGTACATCTCAGTGTTGTCTTATAAACAATGAGAATAACACTTCTATTAGGGATCATTTAACAAATAGTGCAAATCATACACAGTCACTGAGTGGTGTCAGTAATAATAATAATAATAATAATAATAATAATTTAACTAATGAAGAGGTTGATGATTGTTTAACTACGGTTAATATGTTGAACTCAAGAACTACCGATGCCAACAAGGAATACGATGAACAGGTAAGTTGTAGATGACATATATATCATATGTATAATAATGATAGTGATGATAATAATGATTTTTAATATTTCAAGTCAAAGTAGCGTTGACATTATTCCATATAGTTTCTCACAAAGTCGATTAATTAAATTGTATATTTTGTTCTAAGGAGTTGGATAATATATTTAACATTTTAAACGAACGTTATCCTAAAATGAATTAATACATGTAAGACGTTTGATAATATGGATCAGAATCAGCCACAGTAATGCAGTTGCAATCACTCTTTGTTTACCATTAGTTCCTGGGTTTCAAAACAATTTCAATACGTTTTATTCTTCCAGAATCATATTCTGCCACTGCCTTTTTACACTACTAATTCTATTACTACTTCCGCTACCTTGATATTCTTCTTCTTCATAATTTCATCTCACTATGCGATACCGTGAGCTAATGTACATTTTTCGCAGGTTCTCACGTTCCTTACTTTATATGGACTTAAATTCGGACATTTAACTCTTACGGAGAACGTGATAACTAATGATCTAATAGTTTGTGTATTTGAATGATTACATGTACTGTTGGTCACGTAGTAGACTGTGTCAGTTTGCATATATTGAGATCAAACTTATATGTCAGTGACATTCAATCCCCAACCAAGTCGTCTATACTTACCAAGATGGTTCATATCTAGTTAGTGACTGTGATCTGATGTTTTATCTTCTTACAATTTACTTTTATGCTCAAAAGAGCTATGTATTAAGGTAGGTGGTTGGTGGAGATACGCAACAAATCTTGTTCACTGGAGTCAGCCTTATCAACTGACTTGCCAACTTTATCTAGTACCAGGCTTCTAACCTGATTGTTCGACACACAAGTGTTACTCTTTAGTGGAGCCATGCTTCGAATACACATCTTTTTAATGTGTGGGCATAACAACTGTAATGTTAAAGTGGACTAGTCTAACGATCATAATAAAGTATTTTCATAATAAAACATTTTTTTCTTTTGGTTTTCACCTTTAAAAATTTCTTCTTAAATTACATTTTAGCTCAATGAATTACAAACGAATTCAATTGCCCAGTTATCTATGGACATTTCAGAGCCATTATTAAATTTAATTTTGACCGCAAACCAGCAAGAACAACCTGTAATAAACTCGTCGATTTTATCAAGTTTGGATATCAGTCAATTAACTGCTTCATATAGTAATGACGATAATAATCATAACAACAATAATGTCAATAGTGAGGAAGATGTATTGTTTATTGATTCAAGTAAATATCTTAATACTAGTGAACAGTTAATGCCTCATGAGGATGTTGATCTAGAATCTACTCATTTCAGTGAACCAATCTCTTATGGTGGTGATGATGAAGGGGAATATGGTGATGGCGACTCTGAGAACAACAATAACAATGATGAAGGTGGTGTTGACGAGGTAGAAAAAATAGACGATGATGATGACGAAGTGGATGGAGATGATGGTGGTGATGTTGGTGAAGATGATAATGTAGAACAAACGGATAATGATGAAGATAATGTTGGTGATAGACAACAAAATTCCATGTCGAAATTTCATAACTATACAAAATCGAATAATGATATGGATAATAGTTTAATTGATGATAATGACGACGTTGAACAAATTAGACAAACTATACATGATTATGACACAGTATCACAAACATCGGAGATTCTCTCGGATCATGACAGCTTGCAATCGAGTATTGATTCAAATAAATTATTGTTGTTAAAAAGTAAATTTATGAATAAACCGAAAAATTCATTAAGTGTTATAGATTCAATTAAGGCATTGAAAAGTCAAAAGTCAACTATTGCTGCGACTACAACAATTACTACTCCGAATACTAATAATGCTATTATACCAATGATAGAATATAAGTGTAATCTTATAACGGATGTTGGTAATGATATAAACTCAAGTTATGATGATTATGAATATCATGCTAGAAATAGGAATACAATTGAGGAGCTTTTAAAACTGCCTGGTCTACGATCTACGAATGGTAGTATTAGTAATAATAGTAATAACATCAGTAATAAACGAAAGGTAAACCAAACCTCACGTCATCCATTATGGTTTAAATTATCTACAAAGGATAAACCAAAATTACAGTTCAGTGAGGCATCAACGAGTCGGTTCAATAATGACAATAAATTACAATGCAATTTCAAAGAACAAAAACCATTTTCTATTATTCCAACACAGATGATAGACAACACACATAATACTAGCAGTAATAATAATTGCAATAACAATGAACTAGATATGGACTCTTCACCTAGATCAATTTTTAGCGAAAAGTTGAATGGATGTCAATCCTCTTCAAATTATCAACCGGGAATAGTTAGTAAATCAAGTTGGGAAAGAAAAACCAAAGATCCCAATATTTGCAGGTAGGTCGTCCCCTTATTGTACTTAATTATGTGTATATCAGTAGTTCTACATAATTTAGGACTTGACACAGAAGAGTATATCGGTCCCTGTTTGTCACAATTCAATATCGGTCATTAACATTACGAAATCTCCATAAAATATTCAAAAATGAAGAATATTTGAGCGAACAATTGTTTTCAGTAACTTCCTCATCAGGCTCTACAGTTATAAGTCCGTCATTATATTTTACGAAGGCCAAAATAAGGCATGTATTAATGAATTTGACAATGTTATATGTTAAAAAATGGTAAACGTTTGCATCTGTTATGATATAAATACTTCAAAGTGTCCAGTCACAATCAGTAGAATAGTATTATAGCAGAAATAAAAGTGCAAAAAAATTGTGTGAATAAAATGCATAGTAGGAGAATTTCATCTTGTTAATTGAGTTAATAATAATAATAATAATAATAATATGTAATAAGGGGGTTGTTATCAAGGTAATTACGACAAACGAATTGGGAATAATGGATGTGAAGATTAAGATAGAGGTAATCAAATAATAACAATAGTAATAATAATAAGGGAAAAAAAGAAGGCAGGAAGGGGTAAGAGGTTTATAATATTCAGTCTAGGTAATCGGTGATCCAGTCGTAGGCCAAGATAAATGTAGAGGCTGGATATACCTTTTCTGGACACATAAGTTTAGTTTTCTGGAGTTGATCCAGATGGCTTCGGCTATGTAGAGTAACCGTAATCTAGCACCTTGAGGTAGATATTTTTGAATTTGATATAAAACAGAGAAAGCTTCCTCTATTTTTATATGTTCACTATCTACCAAGTGAGAAAGGATAGTGTTGTTGTTCGATTTAGTGACTCCTTTTCCCAACCATGCTGACACATGTTCACGAACACGCAAGGGAAAAGCCCTCTGAGTATGGCTTATGTAACTGGCTCCACAGGAGCAGTTGAATCGGTATACACACATGGAGGAGCCCATCTTCGGTGACCCATCCTTGATTAGTTGTGCGAGTACTGGTTTAGTTGAGAAAATTATATGTAGCTTGGCGGCGTGAAACATCCTCTCAACAGACCTTTTGAGTCGACGTGTTAAAATCTCACCCACCATGTCCCCTTTAATGTCCAGTCTCATATATAGAGTTGATTTACTGACTGATTGATTGACTAATTGATTACAACTTGTGAATTGTCTCAGTTTTTTTTTTGAATTTATCAACGAAATGAACAATTTACCGAAACAACCGTAAATTTTAGTGATTTACTGAAAATAATAAAGTTTCAACCTTAGCTGATTCCGAAACCTCCTTTGGTGGTCATTTCCGTATAACCAAAAGAAACGTAATACAATATGGACATGGATGATTGAATTATGCCTTCCTTAACCATCTGTTAATCCCATGGACTATATTTTCATATTCTCATTTAAAAGCCTGTTTGGTGAACCGACATCATATTAATCTTCATACTGTTAATTAATTAAGTATCTATACTATGCTGTATAAACTTCAATGTGAAATTAGGGCTGATGGAGTAGGTTGAAATGAAAAGCTATCGACAGTCAATGATGTGGGGGCAGTAAGGAGGCCTTAATTTCATAAGTCATTAATGATCTATGTATTGAGACAATCTAAATGTGATGTTATTGGTCAATTATTGTACGGTCGTCGAGTTAATTCAATTCGAAGAGGTCATCTTTGATGATTAAAATTGTTTAATGGTCTTTAGTTTACAATGAAGCTGTTTTTATAGATGCAAATTAACTTTCAAAATATGACATTCCCTAAGCGATTTTAAATCATTTTCTTATAAACTAGTTTCTATACCTTTACGTAAGAAACATGCTTCTCATTATTAAATTTTCTTTTTTTATTAATGACTTCATTTCAGTGACATTACTTTAATTCATCCTAAGTTATGTGCTTCATCATCGTCATCCTTGTCATCCTCACATTCGTCATCGTATGGAAAAACAATATCAGAAAGTTATTTATTGAGGAATAAAAACTTTAAAAGTTTATCCAATCGTCGTTTAACTGATTTTAGTCATCACTATCATCATGAACATTCTCAACGATCTCAGTGTAGTAAGTTAAAACCTTTACCTCGATATCATAAAGACAATATGAGACCATTGTCATTGGTAACAACTGATCAAGTTCCATCCTGTAGTAATCATACATCATCTTATGTATCTTCTAAATGTAAACAATCTAATCAATTAAGTGGAAATGGTCTACAAAAAGAACTATTAACTAATAGGTCTATTACAATCAACTGTAATAAGAATGAAAACAGTAATCAATTGAGAAAAAACAACAACAATGCTAGTTCATCATTGTCACCGTCGATAACAGCAGTCAAAACAACCATGAAATGCTCTGATCATTTGCAACCTGATAAATTGTACCATTTCTCATCAATATGTAATGATCCGTCTAATCTGATGGTGAAGACGACTACAAAAATAAAACCGTCAGGACAGATTACAAAAAATGCAATTCAGCATTTAGAAAATGATATTGATGAAAAACAATGACAGGTAGGTCTATCGGTGATCATTTACACTAATTCGATTCGTGTTTGTTTCCTCTTTTACGACTCATTCTGTTGCTATTCACTCGAATCAGAGTATAGAGATACATCCATTCACATACTTTAGTCCAGAAGTGAGAATGACAATATATATATATATATATATATATATATATATATATATATATATATATATATATATATATATATATATATATATATATATATATATATATATATATATATATATATATATGCCTCTGCTTCCCAATTGTTACTCAGAGCACCTAGTGTCTCTGAATTTGGAAGAAAACAGTATTACTGGTGGTTTTGATATTAGTACCACCTCTTACAACTAAGCTTCACTTTGGTTGATTATAATCGATTACTACACTCCCCAATTTCTATTTTCTTTCCCATACCATTTCATCAGTCAGCTAGTCAAATGAGACGAAGAACCTGATACGTGTTTACATCGATTTAAGTTGCCATACCCCATTAGCTCAGCGAGATGATATTGTTAGCGTAATCCCATAGCATAAGTAGTAATGTGGTGTGTGCTACCGATGTCGACAGATGTAAGTAGTATGTACCATCATCGAAAGGGAAATATCTAGCGGTAGAAGGAAAGAGAACGAGAATGGAAAGTGATTGGTGTGGAAACGAAAGAACGATGAAGTCTGAGACGATTGATTGAAATTTTGAAGAAGGAAGAGTTAAGTGTGAGATAATTGATTGACAGTTTGCAAATGAAGTATTTACTGTATGGTTCTCAGATTTTACTAAGATATTCTTTAATTTGTGTGTTCAAATACATTCGATTGTCCCCACTTGTGTTCTCAATCACCACAGTAATAGCATTGGTAACAACGGGAAAGATTATGCATCGAAGATACGGCGCATAGGTGTTTCCTGCAACTTAACGGGGTACCACTTAAGACTTAACCCACTCATTTTCCTGTTTGTCTCTCTTATGACTCAAGAACCTTGATTGCTCAGGCAAAACTTCATCACTGATCTCCATAAGAGTGCTTCAACTTTTGCCTCCATAGTAAAATTTCTGAATTTGAGCTTTTTTAATTTACTCGAGCTCAACTATGGTAGTATGCAATGTCGCCTCTCAGTTAAAAAAGTGTTAACGGGTCATCCCACTGAACTCCTAAGAATACCATCACTGGCTAGATCCATTTCTCAATCTGTCCATAAAATATGCAGCCCTTGTTTTGTGAACACTTGTAAACTCCTCTGTACTTCAACAGAGAACGTGGCAAGTTCATATCCGAAGGTATTACTTGTTCAGGTTTTACAAATATCTACAGTTATACTTTTAACGCTCTGTTTGTTCGTTCCACTAGTCCCTTACAATCAGGGTGATACTTCTGTGCCTCTTGTCGACATTTATTCAAGTTACGTCCCTTCACTGAAGTATAACTGTACTAGTGCTCACTTGATTGAAGCACTACAACACGTCAGTCAGTCAGTCAGCTACAACGTAGGACCAGGCACATATATGCATCGGTCTAAGTTGCCATACCTCATTAACACAACAAGATGGACACCGGATTCATATAAGTAGTTAATTCAGTTGTGGCAATATATAGAAGAAAGATTGCAATAAGGATATAGTACAGGAAGAAAGTATTAGTTCGTAGAAAGAAAGATATGAATCAATTTTAATCTCTTAGTTTAAGAGAAGATAGAGAGTGTATACACCGACACCATTGTGATCGATTCTCAGCCATGTCACCTACAGTCTCCAACCATTGGTTACGATAGTCACGCGGACCCCAACCAAGTAGTCTGCATCTACCAACATGGCTCAGACTAGAAGTTAGTGACTTCACTCCCTATCCTTAGTTCAGGTGTTGACGCAGACCAGTCCTGAAGCAACAACTTGCATTTCGAGGGAGAGAAGCGCATTCCAAACATTCTGGCATTGTTGCTTAGTGCTACCAGAAGACTCTGCATTTTGTCAGCGTCTTCACCAAACAGGACTATGTCATCTGCGTATTCTAAGTCGATAAGTGGACCTCCTGGTAGGAGATCAATACCCGAGAATTCAGTCGACGAGAATGTTATTTCCATCAATAGGTCTATGATGAAGTTAAACAAAAATGGAGAAAGTGGACAGCCTTGACGGACACCACTTGAGGTTGCGAAAGTAGATGACAGTTCGCCATAAGCCCTGACTCGACTAGTAGTGTTCGAGTAAAGAGCCTTCACAAGGTTTATGTACTTCTGAGGTACGCCTTTCAATGACAGACACTGCCACAGAATCTCGCGGTCTACAGAGTCAAATGCTGCTTTTAAGTCAAGAAAGACCACCATTGTCGGACGCCGATAAGTATGCCTGTGTTCTAGAACCTGACGAATGGTGAATATGTGGTCGATGCAGCCACGACCAGGTCTGAAGCCAGCTTGATTTTCTCGTGTTTGCAGTTCACGAGTCTTAGTTAGGCTCCTGATAATTATCGAGGCTAGTATTTTAGATACTATATTATTTAAACTAATCCCTCTGTGGTTGTCACAGGATGATTTTGACCCTTTCTTATATATTGGGACGATAAGTGATTGCGACCAGTCAGATGGGATAACGTCTAACTCCCAGATCTTAGCTAAAATATTAGTCAACCTAATCGCTAAAATTGGACCACCATCCTTAAAGACTTCTGGAGCCAATCCATCTGGACCAGCTGCCCTTCCTCGTTTCAGATTAACTATAGCCTTTCAACTTCAGCAAGAGTTGGGGGACCTACTTCAATGTTCCATTCACACTGTCTGGGAATGGAGGGTAGTTGTAGAGTAGCTGAAGGCCAGTTGAAATGTTCCGCCCATCGTTCTAAACGTCTGGACTGGGAGCAGATGAGAGTATCATCTTTTTCCGAAATAATCTCACTTACACTTGACTTATTAGTTCCAGTTTCTTTTATTAGTCTGTAAAGCTGTCTTGTGTTCCCTATAGTCGCCGCCTTTTCCATCTCTTTTGCTTTCGTTACCCACCACTGCTCACGGTCGTTCCTTAGACTTTTTCTTAACCTAGATCTGATTTGTTTACGCTCTTCATCATGTTCAGAACCTGATGGGACGAGTTTGCGAGAATCCATCAGTGTGACAGACCTTGAAGAAATCCACTGGTTCCTTGTAACTCTGTGGTTTAAGTCACTAATAGATGTCACTGCTGTTTCCACAGCTGCTTGTATATCCTTCCAAGCAACATCTGGGTCAGCCTCGTCTTCACAACTACCTAAGTGTGACCTCAGTTGTTCCTGGAACCTACTTTTGGTTTTCTCGTTACTCAACTCAGTTCTAATGGGTCTTTTTAATGTGGCTTTTTTGCGTCCAGTGAGGCGCAAGCAGATGCGTGCCCGTATTAGGGCATGGTCGGAGTCCAAGCAGGTACTCCAGAATGAGCGACAATCTTCTACCGACCCTCTCCAACGATGACTGATGGCAATATGGTCTATTTGAGTCCATCGTTGGTTTGGTGTAGGGGGTCGCCATGTTAGACGATGTCTCTCCTTATGCTTAAAATTTGTGTTTGCTAAAAATAAACGATTGTCTGAGCATAGCTGCAGCAGACGATCACCATTATCTGTTCGCTGTGTCGGAATACTAAAATATCCACCTAAATGCCTTTCTGTTTGGTTTAAACTACCTATCTGAGCATTAAAATCACCTGCTACGAGTACTATGTCTGAGCGTTTAGCTTTCTGAAGAAGTTCGGACAGCTTTCTGTAAAATTCATCTTTCACTTCATCTGAGCTGCAGTCAGTGGGAGCGTAGGCAGAAACGACAAAAAGGCAACGACGTGTGTCCCTATCCTTCCGAGTTCTTACGTAGCCGTTCAGCCGAACAGCACATAGACGACTGTTGACGGGGATCCACTCTAGCAGTGCTTGTTCGGCCCTCATGCTTAGTGCTATGCCTACACCTGCCAGTCCACGAGAACTTGCCATCGGGTCACCAGATACACGAAGGGTGTATCTCGTTGGCTCTCCGTTTGCCGAGGTGAGGTCAAGTGAATGACCACACTGGAATCCTGTATGCGTGTTTCGGAGACACAGCATACATCAATGGAAAGAGACTCTAGGGTTTTAGCCAAGGAAGCCTGCTGACCGATTTGACATAGGGTGCGTACGTTGAAGGCTCCAATGTGTAGTTTGGAGCGAGGTTTCAGTAGACCTGGGACAGTGTTTTGCGCACTAGAATCGTTGGCTATGGTGACACTTGAGGTGGAAGCCGAAGAGGAAATTTAGAGTTGAAAGTCGATGTAGGAGGAATAATAGGAATTGAAGAGGAGGTTGATTATGAATACAGTGGTGTTGAGTGCTGTTAGAAGTATGAGGGCGGTTATCACTTCCCGGTTGCCCACACCGTGGAAGGGTTCTTCTGGAGGTACCTGAAAAGGAAATTGGATTAGAGGTGGTCTTAGTGACCTGAGAGCGTGACCGCAGTGCCCAAGGGACAACTGCTTGAGGTCGGTCACACACGACCTTTTTATGGGTAATTTTTGTGTTAGCTCCGTACTTATTGAGACCTTACCGCCGGAGACGGATATCCGTGGGATAAGGCGAGGTGTGCATTTTTAGGGTCGACCTTTTCTAACCCCACCCCTCCTTGTGGGAAGGCAGCATCGCTGTCATGCTGGTTGTCTGAAGGAAACACCTTACTGCTGTCACACCTCTGTACAGTCAGCAGTACGACTTCGCCTTCGGACCTTGGGTTTGTTGCTTTTAGTCTTACCGCTCTTCAACCGACCTGTCTGACATGGTAGGACCTTGAGGAACGGTTGTTCCAGCCAGTATAGCTCGGTTGCTTCATCACGATAGGCAAGCCCGACCACCACGTCAAGGTAGCAACAACGGTCAGGTCTACAACACGTATATAGTTTAGTCCTGGCTGCACACATAGTACCCCCCATCTACCAATACTAGTTGGCTCGATAACTCACATAAACGTCTTTTGTCTAATTTGCTTCTCGATCCTCATTCCTGGTTTGGATTGGCTCGGTTCAAAAGTCCTTGTACAGCCACTTCTCTCTACTCAATCCTGCTTGCGAAAGAGAAGAACCAGTCAGTTAGACAGAACGTAGGACTAGGCACATATATTTATCGGTCCAAGTTGCCACACCTCATCAGCGCAACAACATGAACATCAAATTCATAGAAGCAGTTACTTCAATGGTAGTAATATCTGTATATAAAAAATCAGTTCGTAGAAAGAAAGGTATAAAGCAGTTTTAATCTCACGGTTTAAGGAAAGACAAAGAGTGTATACACCTAACGCATTGTGATCGACTCTGAGCCATGTCACTCAGACCAACCATCGACATCTTTACAAGAAGGACAATTTCCATGTAACAACTAACCGGTGAGATAAAATTCTCCATTTTTGTTCAAACATATGGGTTGACGAACTTATATAAAGCCAAATTCCTGAAATCACTCTTGACATCGTGCTATTCGTCTTTCATGGATCTCTAGCCGTGGATCCACTGGATCACCTGTTGATCTGTACTCAATGTGATATGTTGACTTTGAAGATACGGTCTGTATTCCCCTATAAATATAACAACAGTTAACATTTCGACTATGTGCTTCTTAGCATTGGGCCCAATTCGAGATGAGACAACATTAATCGCTGATTTGCCAATATTAATGTTTAAAATTTCTTTGTCAGAGTCAGGCCATATGTCGGGCAGAGCTAGTACAGAAGCTGAACAAAGCTTGTCATTCAGATAATTGAACGTGTCTTGGCAAATTTCAGACCAAGCAAATGGAACATTTTTTGCTGCCACGTGAGTTGGCGAGTTTGCTATATACAAAAGCAAATGAATTGGGATGAGGGAGAGATTGGCATATGCATAACTTATTGAGTACATTTTTAAAAACCTATGCATCTGACAACAAGACAATCTCTGTGTGAATCTTAACTAAACTACCGAACCCTCTGTGTCAAAACAGTAATACTTATCTAAAGATTATCTTTCCACATTTCTTTCAACAATCCAATTCCCTTCAGTAGATGAACTTGGATGAATTAAGTTAATCACACTGAACAATAGATACATTTGTCATAAATTGGTTGCTTAGCTTATCATTTTCACTATCTTTATCTGAGTATATTTTCAATCATTTGTATAGTCTTTGGGAAACTACTCTATTATAAAACAAATGAGATCTATTACAGCTGTTTCATGTCAGATTGATTAACGTTGCTATGTTTTGGATTGAACGTAAGTTTAATAAATTCATTTTACTATGAAAGACGACTTAAAATGACAATAAATGATGTAATATCTGAAAAGAAAAGTATTTCAACATCTAGATTGCTCTAATATAAATCAATCACATTTAGAAATGAACGAAACTTACGTTTCATTGTTACACATTTTCTCCGTGAAAATCATTGTAACTAGTAGTTCGACAGTGTTCAAACATGTAGTTGGGTGATTAACACTTTAATTATTAAGTTACCACGTTGTAATAAATTTCGTAAATTTAAGTCACATTAACATAAATATGAAATCAAGGTTTATTTACTTGCGTTGTTAAGATAGTAATGAAATCCATTCTGGAATCGTAACTGATAAGAAAGGATAAATAAATAATATATTTGTAATAATGATAAAAAAGGATTTTTAAACAAGGGCCTATTTACCTCTGGTTCTTACCTTCATTTTTCAATTGCTTTAAATTTCAATCATTCTTACAATGTTACTAATGCATTTTGATTGCGTAAATACTTCAATATTGTCTCGTAAGAAATAAAATCAAATAATCTAGTTACAATAAAATGTAACATTTCACAAGCGAATGTCAGTTAAATGCATTTCAACATTCTCATCCATATCTTAAATATGGATCTGTTTCCGCTTTGTATTTTATTTCTCTGAATCATGTTATTTTTTTATTTAGGAGATCGTGATGTAAGTGAACATGTATTGAATAATCGACGTTTTTGGGAGGATTCCAATCTTAAGACTAATAATGATGATGACAGTGATAATAGTAACAAAAGTAATAATAATTATGAGAAATTTTTTAATTCATCATCATGTTCATTAGTAAATAACCATGAAAATGAAGTATTTGTTAATCAACCGAAACACGTATGCAATTCACCACGCACTGCCACAGTAAAATCCAAATCTGTTATGAGAATGATGAACACAATCCCTCAAAATAATAAAACATGTCATCCACTGACTAGTAATGGAGATTCAACACCAAGTAAATCTATATTATCAGGTGAAGTTGATTCTCGTGATATGTACATTAAACGCTCTGCTGAAACTAAACACATTCATGATAATTTAGAATGTGACAGATTGAATTATGAACCAATGTACAATTGTAAACCAAATTTGTGCCATGTATCGTTGGAACATCAGAGTGGAGCCATAAATTCACTTTTAAAGTAGGTTCACCATTTTTTATTACTTTTCCTTTCCCCTCCCATGCTTTTTATCAGTTGAATTTTGTTTGCGTGAAGGTTTCCACCTCTTCCAGAGCTTCGCCATCAAGTACAATTCAGTTGATGTTCGCTGTATCATATTTCAGGGTCTCACTTCTTCCCTTGTGAATATATAGACCTATTTCTACATTGACTGTCTTCACCTGCATTTGCTGCTGTATATGGAATAGAAGGGCTAGATCATCTGCCCACTGTATTCTGTGTTTTTCTTAAGATGTGGAGGTCTCATAATTCAGTCAACAACCAAGAGAAAGAGAAAAGATGAAAGTAAACAGCTTTTATTGTTCCCAGTCTTCATTTGGAATACATATGTGAGTTGTCTTCCATGCAGGACTTCTCAATTCAGTCCCTTATATGAATTCCGTATGTTGGTGACTATTATCCCAGGTACTCCATATTGTCGGAGGTTTCAAAAGGCTTTCCCATCGACACTGTAGAGTGTATCCCCCATAGTTAAGGGAGTTGACATAGTGACGATTTTCATTCAATTGATTGCTCAACAATGACCCACAGTGTTGAGGTTAGGTCTGTACATGACCAATCCTTACGAAATACTGTTGATTTAGAAGTTGAACGTCTATTGAAACTGTACCTGTAGTTCTCACACCCACCAAGATTTCCTTTCTTCGGTTCTTTGATGGGGTATCCTTTTTTCCTCCCAAATCTCCCTAAACAGAACGCTGAACATCTTTACAGTTGCTGCTATATTTGACTCCAGTGCCTCGTCTGGAATGCCATCTGGTCCAACTACTGCTGGTCTATTCAGTGTGCTCTGTCCACCTGTTTCATTGCTCTTGGTTCTCGATGGTTGGTTTGCCTTTGTTCTTGATTGGTCGATCTGGTTTATTACACTTCTCTGCTGGCTTATTGGTTGTATCACATCGTCCTTTGATATTTCATTCTAGTACAGCTTTTCTGCTCTCGTTGCTTGGTCTTGTATATGGTTTTGCTTGTCGGTTTTGGTGTTCTTTACTTGTTAGCTAGTTTTGGTCTATGCTATGCCTTGACTTTCGTTCGACTGTAGTTAGCTGCTTCTTTGTTTATCCTTTCTTGAATATTGCCCAGACTGTCTACAGATATCCACTCCTTATATTGGCGCTTCTTGAGGCATGACACGGGTCATGTTAAAGTTATTGCTTTTATCCCTTTCCAGACTTTTTCCATGATAGTTTCTTCTTATGGTAGATCTTGTAAAGCCTAAAACTTGTTACTCAGATACATCTCGATATCACTGAGCTTGTTAGCATCTGGATGGAAGATTGTTTTAAAATTTTTTAGTGCTGCTTGTCAATTTCTTTTTTTATGTTTTCAATGGACCTCCTTAGTTTTTTTGTTGATCCAGATGTGGTCGATCTGTTGGTGTGATCCGGTGAATCCCATGGATTTGTGAAGGGAAGTGGTGCAATCTTTAACCATGTTCTTCATAATAAATACATATGTCAGTCTCTCATCATTCTCATTCCTTTCTTCCAGTCCATTTTGCCTTATGATGTGTTCGTACTCGATATTGTCTATTCTGACTTTGGGGTTTCAGGTCCCTCGCGAAGATTGTTAGGCTTTTTCCTGGACATTTCTTCAGGATAGACTGTATTATCTGGTAGAACAGGTCTTCATCATCTTTACTGACATCATTGATGGGTGTGTATCAGTGGGCACTATTCATTGCAATGTTTTCTTTTTTGCTTTGGAGGGTGTTGCGATAATCCTGTCGCCTTGGGCCTCTCATCTTATAGGCGGTTTTCGTGTTTTTCTGGACGGCATCAGTGCAATTCGTTGTGTATGTGTTTTGTTCTCTCCCATGTGTCCACAATGCAATAACAGTTCTCTTGAAATGTAATGTTTCTTGTCCAGATTGTATACTTTGGGTTTCACTTATCTATGTTGTGTTCTGATTTCCATTAGTGCATCGATCTCTCGGCTTGTAAAGATTCTGTTCTTGTGAACATAATGTATGATAACTCTCTCATGAAGATCTTCGACTCATTGAACTTAGTTTGATTGGTTTTCTTTGTTTAGCATTTCTGTGACAGAGTTTCTCTTTCTGAGGTGGGGCTGAAAACTTTATGCTAAACCCTCCTTTACATGGGCTTGTGACTGAAATTAACCCCAAAGGGTTTCAGATAGTGTTTAGGATCCACAAATGATGAGTTATTCTTAACAGAGAAGAGTAAAAAACGGTCGTCCTTTAGGTTAAACGTTGATTACTAGCATTCATTAGATTTTATTATGTTTGTTAATCCTAAACTTTTCATCTACTATGATAGCAATTGTTTCCAAGCGTCTGTAGCATGGGATTAATAGGTTGAAAGAAACCCAAACAAATAAATAGGATTGGTATATGAACTGATTGATCATTTGACTCAGTTTAGGTAATTGCGAATTTCCTTGATATGAACAACAGTCAAAATTTCATGATTGAGTACGTGGTTTGATATGACCCAAACTCAGTCATAACAACTCAGTTGGATTCATTCTGTTTTATTTTTCTCTAAACATTTGACTTGATTTTATTTCTTACTTTTGATTCTCCTACGTTATTGGTTCTTTTGGGAATAAATTTCTTACATTTAGCTTCCTGTTGTAGTTGATATTATCATTTCCTCTTCTTCAAGTCTCATTATATTCATTTGTTCTCACTGCGCTAATATACCAACTTATATCTGTATTTATTTGTACGGGATTCTATACTGTCGTCTATGGATTTGTAATATAGTTTATATTACCAACTAATCTTAGACTATTGTTTAAAATTGGGAATCACTGGACAGCTGTTTCATCCTAGTGTAAGACTCCTAGACAATGCGCATCCACAATCTCACAGATCGAACCGAAAATCTCCAGATCTCACAACGAGCGCTTAGCCTTTAAACCAATGATTTGGCATGCGATGGCGTAAGTGTCTAACTTTAATCTATTCACAACATTACGCACCCTCTTTCAATGCTATTAATGGGTTTTGCCTCATGTCCGATATGTTTAGATTCCACTAGTCACAGCTTTTCATTAAAACTTCAGGAATTAACTCTCGAATTTGTGATACATAGTTTATTATCATATAAATTTGCAAATGTAGTATTTAAATCTTGCGAATACAGTTCATGCAAAACATATTGTGTATGATTTGACTTAAATGTACATTGATTAGAGCTGCCACACTCTACAGCAGCAGAGCGACAGACGAATTTAATAGTGTGAAATTCGAAACAGTAGAAGTAATAGGGGAATGTCGACAAGTCTGATTTAATGAAATGTAATGTTACCTAAGATTTTTGACCTTGGTATGCGATTATATCATAGAACCTTATCAGGAAGTATACACGTTACATGTTTTTGTCCAGTATAACTGGTTTATGTTTAGTTTCCATAAATTTTTTTTAGGTATTTGCCCTCTAACTTTTTGAATTGTTAAATGTAACGATTGATGTGTACACTTGGTATTAATCATTCTTACCGTTGATTTCGTTCGATTTATTTGGTCAATTCATGTTAATCTCGATACACTTGTTTATTTTGTCAATCTCTTTTTTGCTGAAAAAATAGATCTGATTTGGATACTATGAGCTCCGGTGAAGTTGTACCAAGTCATTCAGATGTCAGTTCTCTTCCATCCCAGCCAATTGGTCTTGCAGGTATATTGTGCGTTATACGCTTTCTATCTACACAATTTCTGTTTACTAATCTAAATACTTTATCGAAGTAGATTAAAGTGTTTTTAGTTCGGATTAATGATAAATGCTGAACGAGTGTAGAATTATTAAAGTGAAATGAATACAATATTGATCAATAGGTGAACATAATGATACAAATTAGCTGGGTTATGTCTGTTTACAGCACTGGATTATCGACTCAAGCCCACAAATGAACTAACATCAACGACAAGACCACTCACCAGAAGTATAGGTTTTCTTCACCTAGCGAAATAATATACTTCTACTTAAATGACTGAACACTCCTCTCTTACTCTTTAGTGAATTAAGACCTGATTGGTGGTTTTATTTCTTGCTCATCATGTTAGACTGTAAAATACAACAGGATGATTCAGTTATGTTTTATCATATAATTGAAACGGCGGGCACCAGATGAATGTAACTGGTAAATTTCTGAGTGATAATGGGCTTTATTTTCTTCTTTCAATAACCCCTCTGAAAAGCTACATTCTGTTAGTAATTTGCTTCCTAATGAATTCAAATAAAGTCTAATAGGACGACTTTTTTTCGCAAAGGTTCTGTATTCGTTTAAATCACTTTTGATCATGAAAGTGTTTTCCTAGCAGTAGTAAAACTGCGATGGTTTAGTCATTTTATCCGTTTACTTCTATCAGTTTAAATGTATTAAAAAAAACAGAATTGTCAACCATTCATATTTTATGATCAAATAATTGTTCTCTGTATTTATGCAATTAATAATGATGATCTAATCGAAATCAATATTGTTCGCTTATATATTGTTGTTTCCAAATTACAATATGGGAATTTTCAAATTTTAAATAATAATTGTTTCACTGTCTACGAGCTTTTATATGTATTTCTCAAAGTCAACGAAGTAGAAAATCGACTAGCTGTTTATTGATAATGCAATTTAGCGATTATGCTATATTGTAAGTAAACTAGGATTTCAAATGTGAGTAGAACTCACTATTTGAATGGTATTAGTTTCAGTGAAACTTTTTAAATATTTATCATCACAAAAATAAGATTTATACAAATTATTTTTTTTCGGTTCGACCGTTCTTGTGAAAAGTCGTGATTGGTGAATTTCATCCATGCGTTTTGTAAGATAGGTTTCATCGAATGTCGTTACAATCTATCAGATACTGAATAGAGTTAGAAATATGAACCATCTGACTGTAACCCACTGACCTAAAGGTATTACTTTTGCCAAAGTACTGGAGGGTCCGCAATTCGATTCCCCGCAGGTTCGTATATGTGCATTGTTGAAACAACTATCCATTACTTTATGATTTTCAGTTTGTGATAAAAACTATCTCAAAACTGAACTGATCTTCACAACCAACCAATTCATTTTTTAGAATTATAACCGTAAACGCGTCCACATTATATATATAATCTTTAAATTTACATAATTATTTTTTTTCTTTATATTCTAGTTCACAACAAAGAATCAAATATTTTAGGCATTGATTATCTAACTGAAACTCAACAATTGATAACAGAACCAACAGATTTAAGTTTAGCTATGCTGTGTCACAGAATCAGTCGTTTACAGACCGAAGCAGAAGCTGTGGCTAAAGCAATCTCGGTTAATAATCATAACAATAGTGCTTGTATCAGAAATAAACAATCTACGAATAATTTACCGATTATCAATCAACAGTTTACTAGTCCAGTAGATGAAGCACAATCACTCCGAACCGATTCAAATAGTCGTACAATGAATGAAATACAGATTCGTCATTCACCGGGAAAATCTGATGAAGGTCTCGGTAGATCAGTCAGTAAAAATGAACAGCCAAGTCAATTAGACAATGGTGCTAAAAATAATATTTATGATCAAGGCGATACTTGAAATAATCATATAAATGAAAAAGTAATGGTTGAGTAAGCTGGTATTTCGATTTCTCACATATATTTGTTTACATAATTATATACACCTCGCAAATTGATTTGATTGTGAACCGTTGGGTTTCGAGTCAATAATCTAAAGATGATAATCCTCTTGATATGAGGTTAGACTCCCGTTGTGACGTCATAGGTATATAATCAAAGGGTTTTAGACTAAGACGAATCAGATGTGCAGTGCTTTTGCTTTAAATGAGTCCTAGTTACTATCAGTTCATAGCGGAATGAAAAGTTAATATGTGCATCACTAACTGGAGTATTTAAAATCAGGATACAGAGCACCAGTACAGTAATTCATTCTTTGACGGTAATGAATTTTTCGAATATGCTCCCTGTTCTCCATATACTTAGGTTTATCTCACTGGTTACCATTGTTTTTAGTCTTAGGTATTTGTTTAATATGGATTTTAAATACGGAACAGCTTTTGGATCTTGAATCGAGTTTGGGTTGTCAGAAGACAGAACCTTGCCAATTAACTTAAAAAAAAAAACATGACTGAAGATTAATGGACTGCTACGAGTATTTTATCTCTCAGACGATTTGGAGCGAATTTCGAATGAGACAAAATAAGTTTGGATGAAATTCGTGCTAAAATGAAGAAGAAATAGTAGTTAATCGAGCTTTGCCTCATTTTTTTTCCTTATTTTAGCGTATATGTGTACTAACAATGTTGTATGTAAATTTACTATCTATTATTTCTTTGTTCACCTTTCATTATCTCCCGTAGATGAATTAATACTCGATCTAGATGAACAATGACAGATTTTGGATTTTCTTTTGACTATGTTCAGTGCACTATCCATACAACAGCGGCCAAAAACAGAATTACACCCAAATATTATCATCAATATGATTTATTATTATGTTTCAGTCTAACATAAACCTCTTCTGACAACTGTGTGCTGGCAAATGATTCAGCTGGAACAGTTCGCTTTCCATTGTTCATATTTGATCTTTTGTTTATGCAGTAAATGTTCTTTGCATAAATGCTATCACCATTATGGTGTTCTGATATGGATAGTTGTAGGATTCAAGTTAACTATATTTATTTTGGCTTTTTCTCTCGGTCTATCGATCCTTTTGATATTTCACAAAAAAACTTTTGACAATAATAACTTCAATGACGTGCGTTTATACCTGTGTTCAAACAATTGTCATGTTTTTCTTTAACCAATTTAAATTGTTAACTTTTGTGTATCTAATCCGTTAAAATGATTTGAGCCTATGATAAAAATAGACATGACTCAACGTACTCAGTTAAAAAAAGACCTTTGAGTGTAGTGCTCGATATTCAATGACTGGATAGAGTTTGGAATAAGGCGAACGAACTATATTCAACCGAATCCCCACATCATGAAGTCACATGTGCTTGTTGATTTCATATATATATATATATATATATATATATATATATATATATATATATATATATATATATAACCCGATTGTAGTCAATCGTTCGATCAGAGAACCCATCAAACTCTGTTTTAGCTTCTTACGAATTAAGACGGAATGCCTTAGTGACTAAAGAAAAGCTGTATTAGTCAAATTTTCTGTAGAAAGTGTCTTAAGTCCCCACCCTCTAGCTGAAACTGAAATAATGAGCGGGACAAGCAATATCTAAACTTATTATGATAAACAGTAAATTTGTTACACTATCTAGTGTTCAAATGAGGCATATGTCCACTTAGTACAAGTCAGAGATATTCTCGTAAACATAACCTAAGGAACCATATTATGCAACAACGTTGTTCAGCTGTTAGCGCAATGACCTTCCGCTCAAATCCTCGAGCATCTAAATAACCGTGAGTCTCAAAATAGATGACCAACAAAACATTTTACTAAACCCTATTAAACGAAAAGACGCTCCTTCCTCGTAATCAAAAGCAAACCTAATACGACAAAAAATTAATATTAGTAACATATTTGCTGATTAACAAATAGTGATTCAAAAATTAAGTTCTTCAAAAGGTTTGCGAATCAACGAAACTCCTCAAATCTTGTTTATACGACAAGACTAATTTTAGAAACTTCAAGCGGAATGGGTTAGTTGCAATAAGAGATAATCATTGCAATAGTTAACAAACTGATCAGTCAGTAACTGTTTACAATTAGAAGTGATCAAGGTCGCGGAAGTCACGAAACGTTTTGAACCAAGTAAAAAGTCTAGCGCTAACCTCGTGAACACTAGGAATCACTTATGTTTGTAAAATTCATAATCACTAGTAAAACTTTTCAGACAACGGTATGAAAACCAAAATGTTTCTCTAAAAGTACTATGTCGAATGACCCTGAAAGATAAAAAAAACGTGCGTTAGTCATGAGAACAACGGAATCACACATAAGCACCCATGAGCCCCATCCCACTCACCATGTTCAACTAACCACCGGACGTTGAATGTGAAACACACGCTTGAACACGTAACACATTAAAACTATTCATTGAGCTTTTAACAGCATATGTTAGTTTATTTATTTATTTGAACACATGAATATTGGTACAAGAGAGCGCCAATATATATGCGCCACACAAAACAATGAGAAATCGAAGAGAAAAAAAGGTAAGGAGCGCAAAAAAAAAGAGAACAATAACGAAGAGATTGGTGTAAGGTAGTGTGGTAGTAACGGGAACGGAAAGGTACAATCAGAAGAAATCTTTCAGGTAAGGGAGACACAACCACTTTTTATGAAGAAAGTAAAAGAAGGTTACAGCAGGATCGCCACTGGCTTCTATTCTGAGCCATATCTGATAACGTCTCTAGCCACTGTGTAGCACCATCTCTCGGACCCCAACCAGGGAGTCGTGAAGGACCAACACAAGCCAGTCCTTTGCAGCTTTCTTTCATGCCACGACACCATGTCATGCACTGACCACCTCTCCGCTTCTTCCAACCAGTCCCAGAGTCGGCAAATAATGCACGACGTGGAATTCTCTGGGACGACATTCGGAGAACATGTCCAAGCCACCGAAGTCGGTGTTTCAAGATGGTGACACCAATTGAATTATCATCTCTGTGCCCGAACACACGATGCCGAACCTCTGCATTACTGACATGGTGTTGCCACTGAATGTCAGCAATCCTTCGGAGACAGCGATGATCGAACACAGAGAGTCGTCTAACGTCCTCAACTCGGAGAGGCCAGGTTTCACAAGCATAGAGCAAAACTGCTCTCACCGACGCGTTGTAGATCCGACCTTTTACAGCCAGACTAACATCACGAAGGCGCCAAAGGTGGCCCAGATTGGCATAAGCCGCTCTGGCTTTCACTATTCGTGCATTGATCTCATCACTCACACCCCCACCAGCACTTATGCAGCTACCCAGATACACGAACTTCTCAACTACGTCTATCTGCTCACCATCCAGGGTGAGTACAGGATTAGAATCCTGCCAGTCTTGTAGAAGTACTTTGCACTTCGAAGGTGCAAAGCACATACCATACCTACGGACACTGATTGCCAACTGATTAAGTGCGGATTGCATGCCTTGGGCATTATCGCACAGTAAGACAATATCGTCCGCATACTCAAGGTCGAGAAGTCTTTCTCCAGGCAACAGATCCACACCACCATTACTTACATTCATCAGAGCTGTTTCCAGAATGTCATCGATGGCAAAGTTGAAGAGGAATGGTGAGATTGGGCAACCCTGCCTAACCCCACTGCTCGAATGGAACAATGGAGAGAGGTGGTTGTATGCCCTCACTCTGCCTGAGGTGTTTTTTATAGGGCTTTTAGGATGTTAATAAACTTCTCAGGCACACCCTTCTTCAATAGACAATCCCAGAGAACAGTCCTGTCCAACGAATCGAAGGCAGCCCTGATGTCAAGAAACACTACGATTGTTGGCCTTTGAAAGTATGGCGGTGTTCTAACATTTGGCGGAGGGTGAAGATATGATCAATACATCCTCGACCAGAACGAAACCCAGCCTGCTCCTCGCGAGTCAATCTTTCTCGGGTTTTGAACAACCTACGAAGTATGACGGAAGCCAATAGCTTGGACGCAATCGGAAGTAGACTTATCCCCCGATAGTTGTTACAGGAACGACGTGAACCCTTTTTAAAGATAGGGACAACTATCGACTCATTCCATGACGTTGGTACACTCTCTAGTTCCCAAACCTTTGTAAACAACGTCGTCAATTCCTTAGTCAAAAAGTCACCACCATCTTTAAAAAGAGCCGGAGGTAAGTCATCTGGGCCAGGTGATTTGTAACGCTTCAAGAGTTGGAGTTCCTTGCGGACTTCCTCCTCGTTTGGTGGATCAGTCGTCACCGGCCATGGAGGGCAGGACAGTCTGACCGATGTTGCCGGAGCAGCAGGCCAGTTGAACTGCCCTTCGAAAAATTCTGCCCATCGTCCAAGACGTCGATGGATGTTAGTGATTGGCATCCCATCATCCTCGCAGATTGTTTCACTCACACCAGACTTCTTGCTGCCAGTGGCTCGGATGAGCTGGAAGAGCTTCCGGTAGTTACCAGATGCAGCTGCTGCTTCCAGCTCATTAGCACGCATCGACCACCAGGCTTCTCGGTCCTTACGCAAGCTTTGCCCAATTTCCTTACGTAACATCCTTCGTTTATGGTCAAACTCACGGTCACCCGGAGTAGACCGACGGGCTTCAATGAGTTGTAAGGAACCAGAAGAAACCCAGTGCTTAAAAGCGGGACGTTTCGCAAACCCACAACTGACTGTTCCCGCCATTTTCATGGCGTCATGCAATTGCAACCAATGCTCATCTATACTTTTCGGTGGAGTGGTAGCTAGCCTAGAGGCTAGCTCGGTTCGATACTTACTTGCAACAGAAGTTGCAACCAGCTTGCTAACATCAATCCGTTGATGGCGGTCACTTCGTTGTCCACTGAAAAGTAAGGCAAGATTGGCGCAGACCAAGGCATGGTCAGAGTCCAGATAGGTACTCCAAAAGGAGCGGCAGTCTTTACACAACCACGCCAGCGGTAGCTGATCGCGATGTGATCAATCTGAGTCCAGGCTTGAGATGCAGAGGGAGGACGCCAGGTGGCACATCGGCGATGACTGTGCCGAAAGTTAGTGCTAGCCAGAAACAGGTTGTGGTCTGTGCAAAGTTGCAGTAGACGGTCCCCGTTATCTGACCTGCGACCAACGAGTCCCCATCGGCCACCTAAACGACTCTCTTCTGTGCCTAGACGCCCGACCTGAGCATTCAAGTCTCCGGCTAGTACTACAATATCTGTCGAACGCACTTTCTGGAGAAGAACAGATAACTGGTGGTAAAACTCATCCTTGATTGCACTGCAATCTGTCGGGGCATAGGCGGAGATGACGAAAAGACATCGTTTCTCACGCCGATTTCTTCTCACTTTGATGGAACTTTCTAATCTAACAGCACATAACCGACTGTTAATGGGGATCCAATCGACTAGTGCTGCCTCAGCTCTAGCGCTTAGTGCGACACCAACGCCAGCAAGACCAGACGAAGATGCCACAGGGTCCCCGGATAAGCGCACGTAAAACAAGCTTTTCGAAGCGACAGATGGAGATCGAATTTGTAGTACTTCGCCAGAGTCTTGAATACGGGTCTCGGATAGACAACAAACATTAATATTAAGACTTTCCAAAGACATAGCCAGCCCTATCTGTTGTCCGACCTGCATAAATGTGCGAACGTTGAAGGCAGCAAGTTGAATGATGAACCCTTAATGTCATATGTTAGTAATCAACTGAGGACTACAAAAAACCAGGGATAAAACATGCGGGCTTACACCGAATTACTTCCTGTAAGGATATTATCGCTCACCAACAAATATACTACACATTCAGCCATGTCAAATAGTTAGCGTAAAAGATGACAGGACGTCAGCTAATTATACCGAGTGTCGTACATTCAGTTTTTTGTTGATTGAATGAAGGCATCTCTCGCTGTTGTTGTTGTATGGATACAGTGTGCATTGTCAACTCCTTTCGCCGAGGGCCTGGTAACAGGGCGTCCATAAAGTGACAACGAGAACCCCGTGGTTGTGGACCTCTAGTAATTGGTATTGCACTCGATTCTGCCGGAGACCAAAGTTTGTGCTATTGTGGGAGAACTTACTATTCTCCCGAAGCCTATATGATAAATGTCGTGCTAATTTTTCGGAAATTGACGCGACTTCAACATCTTCCTGGATTCTTATCCAATCTATCTTTTTTCAAAGGGATAGAGGAAACAGTGAACTGCCGACTCAGGCCTGTAGTGGGATAATCCCACCAAATCCTAAGTCCTGTGGAATTGAAGGTAGCCGATGTTGAGATAAGAGCATTTTATAGTGTATAAAGCCGGAAAATCGTACGTTCTAACACTAACTCACTATCCCCTTAACCACAAATGTGGGGCTATTCTCTTAAGGAGTAAAGAGCATCACTAGGCTCGTAATCTTCTCTCAGAAAACCACAGCCCAAATTTCATTAGCATCCAAAAGACCTGCTTATACCGCAGTACCGACGTACGGCAAACCAGGTCAGCGATTTGAAGCACTCTCATATCTATCGGTTAGTCACATGTGTGATCGGAACTCTTGAAACACTATACTACTTGCGAACTCTATCTTCCCTATGAAGGTCGGTCGGCAAAACATAGACACCGCGTACATACCTTGTGTGAGAACATGCGCCACGACTTTGCGTTTATTTCGGTTCATCTGACACGACATCTAGGTACCCTAATTGTTTATTAGTGGCGACCCTGGGTGACATTCTGAATAACTCAAAAATAGGACAGATGCACTAATTTGCCTGACTCCCGAGCCATATCACCTGTAATTTCGAGGTAGTTAATTATCATTATCACAGTAAGTAGGCAGACAATTTCCAACCACTAATTATAACATTGTTGGTTTATTCGCATTCGATGAGTTGCTCGAGAGAAACCAGTACACGACAAAATGAGCTTCAGGTCAGTCACCATCTCGAAAGTCCTGACTAAACAAAATTACGTTTTATAAGCGAAGCCTCGTTAAGACACTAATACCCAACCCTACTTCCATATATGTATATATATATTTGGTTGGAATCGACTTATTCCAGCATGACCTCAACTCTATCCCGCTACTTTACCTCACTGTGTTCTGTAAAAAACCGCGTATGAAGTGAAGTGTATATTAGACTACAACATTAATGAATTTCCAACATGAATATTTTAATGTTTAAAGTCATATGTACGTTAATAAAAGTATTTGCACGACGCACCAGTGAGGAATCCCTGAAAAATACCAGGATATTTAGTCCTCATCTGAAGAGGACGACTCCGAAGGGCTGGCATTTCCTGGACGGTGAATTACGGCTGATGTTATTCGGGGTCCTTTTGAGCTGCCGTACCCACGAACTGGCTCTCCTCTGGCTGGGCTGCGATCTCGTCTTTGATCTGTTCGTTCGAAGCGGTCATTTCTACCAAACTCGCGTGACCCGCCTCGATTAGCTGGAGCACCTTGGAAACGGTTTACATCTCTTTCGCCTCTGCCTGAATTGTAGTCGAACTGCCTACCTGAAACCACAAAAAGAAAATAGTTACACTGCCTGTCATACTGAAACAACTAAACCAGTTAGTTGCCTGACAAAATAAACTTACCTTGTCTGTTGTAGTCACGTTGACCACTATAATCACGCTGATTGTACTCACGTTGATTGCCATCTCTCTGGTTACCGTTTTCACGCTGGTTGGTGTGATCTCGATTATTGAAATTCCGCTGATTGTAGTCGCGTTGATTACGTTGACCGTATTCTCTTTGGTCACGATTATAAGGGCGCTGATTGTTATAACTCGGTTGTTGATTGTGCTCCTGGTCTATAATGAACATCACATACAATTTATGGGCAATCCTTTACCTCTCTGGATTCGTCCACGTACAGGCCTACCGCCCATCATCTTATTTCCGCAGGAAGTAAGAGCGGCGCTGCACTGGTCGGAATTCGAGAAAGTCACGTGAGCAACGCTACAAACAATTGAAAGTTCAAAAATAAAATTTACCCTCTGGAACGTCCCTGCTCGTCTAACGAAAGTGCCACTCGGAGGGCTTCTGGGAACTCGCGCATAATATCTCTTTCAGATGCTGTATAGGGAAGATTTGACACGGTGAGTGTACAAGAGGCGTTGGAAGAACTTTCACTATCAGTTCTACTATGCGGATCATATGTGGGCTGGCTGTACTCATTATCGGCATGTGAACGTCTGAAATCCCTGGAATTGCCTCCATAATGCTGGCTGACATTTAAATTTTCTGACGAACTGGAATGATAATCTGAAATATATAAACTGAGTGATTATTAAAGAGCTTTTGAAATAAGTCCAGTGATTGTACGAGTTTTAATGACCAACTCACCTCCGTTCAGTTCCGCATGCAGCAGCTGTCCACCAATTTCTTTTCCTTGAAGACATTCATCGTAGGCTTGTTGACAGTCGCGAGCATTGTTGAATTGCAAGATGCACATGCTGTTTCACATATGAAACAGAAAAAGAGAGCAAATATGGAGCGATCAATGGGAAGCGAATAAGCTTTACTAAAGACCCCGTAGGCAGATCTTTCGAGTAACAAATTTCTACCTCCATCGAAAGTGTTCGGGTCGACCTTCCTGCATTTCACTCCGTCGCAAATAGTACCACCTGCTCACATTACAGGAATGGGTCAATGTGGCACACCTGCGTCGCCAGTAACAAAAGGTAGAAAGGTAAAAGATCGGAGTCAGTTCTTGTTAACGTACTAACGGAACATCATTAAAATGCCTAGGTTCACCTTTGGACATTTAACTTGCCAAACAAAAATATCGCAGACTGTCGAACCTACTGTGGTACTGCTCATAAAACGGAGTGAATTAGATCTCTTATAATGTCGTTAAATGTGCGGTAACAAATTAATTTGTAGGGAGCAAACTGTACTCACCCTTTAGATTGCGAAGACACAGAATGACTTCGTACGAAGTTGACTGACCTGGCCGAAGGGAATACCGACTGAACTTCGGTTTCGTCTGCCGAGGTGGGTAGATTGTATACGGCCAAAGAAGTGGCTTGACCAGACTGGTATGCTTGTGTCAGTGACATGCTTTTTAACTAAAAACAAAAGTACTCATCAAGGACGGAAAAAAAACTATCAGAGAAATCAGATTCATTTACAAAGATTTATTTGCAATTTGAATTTACAGAGCAATCAAGTTTTTTAATCAGAACCACCGCGTTTTGACCAGCCCCCACGGTTACCACCACGACCACGGAAAGACTGGCCACCACGACCGTGGGGCGACTGACCACCGCGGCCGCGAGATCGACCACCACGACCACGAAACGAGTTGCGCTTGAAATCACCACCAAATTTGTGCTGCGCTTTGAAGTTGCTTTGATCTCCTGAACGGTTGTCTGCTTTCGGAAATCCACCAGCTTTTTGTCGTGTAAGCCAGGAAACTGCTTTTTCTCCTTGCCTTTAGGTGAGACCATATCAACGTCTTCGTCACTTTCGTCTTCACTTTCATCCTCTTCTTCCTCGCTTTCATCTTCACTTTCATCGTCTTCGTCACTGTCGTCGCCATCTTCACTTGTATCTTCGTCCTCTTCGTCGGCATTCTCATCCTCAATGTCATCTGCGTCATTCACTTCCTCTGCCTTCGAAACTTTGTGAGCAGCCTTGACCTTCGAAACGCCTACTTCTACAGCTATAATGAACACCAAAAACCTTTAGAAAGACAGCACAATTGCGAACAAACATACAAAACAAACCGAAACAAACTCACGTTTAGCTTTCTTCTCAGATGTTACAGAATGCTTCTGTTGATTGTTAGCACAATCATCAACAAAGACATCTGAAGGAGAAATACGGGTTAGTTTAGTGAGGCAAAAACTCGAGAGATTGAAGCGAAAATCCTAGTAAGTTGGTGTCTGGATGACATGTAATGTGAGCAAATCAAAACTTTCGAGGTAAAATTTCAATTATCATTCTACATACCTTTCAAAAATATTGTCACGCGGCGACCTTTCAGAGTTGCGTTTGAGGAAATTGCATTGTTACAATCTGCAGCGGTTTCAAACTCGACAGTCATGGATCTGAAACAAGGCAATACACTGTCAGACGTTACGGACAAACTGATCTAATCAAAATGAGATAAAGGCAGTAACAATTTAGTTTCAAAGGCAGCTATCAAGATATTAATATACTTACGCGCTCTGGTTCCCTGTAGTTGTATCACGTGACACCGAAACGACGCCACCAAATAATCCTTTGATGTCTGATTCTTTTGTGTCAGCTGGAAAACCCCAAACGATGGCAGTCTTGAGCTCTGGTCCTCCTGTTAATGCCAGTTTCAGCTGTTTACCGGCATGGAACTTTGGCTGTGAGACAGCAGCCTTTCGGACTTCCAAGGAAGGAAATTTAAGAAATGCCTTTCTGTATGAAGAAGAAAATGTAAGACCGATAGTAACTGACGCTAAATAACTTAAGTGAGTGACTAGTTTACGAAATGTTTGAACCAATTCGCCGAAAACTAACTTTACTCACCGTTTTTTCTGAATCCACTGAACGTCTAAACATGTCGGGAATAGCTTACGCAACTGGTTCGGATGACCATCCCAATTTGAAACTGCGACTCTTACGGAACCATCAGGACCAGCTCCTAAAGGATGCCAGTTAAACGACTACTGACAATCAATACTTACGAGGCTGTTGATCTTTAGCGAAGTTAGCTTTGAACAATTGACCTTCCACGGTTAAAGAACTGAAAATTTGGTGAGCTTGCTTAGCAACATCAATAGAGGAGAAGGACATAAATGCACTATTGATTTTATGGTTTTTATCCAGCAAATTTAGGGAAACAGGTTGACAGTTGTTGGGGAGTTGACTTTTTAGTTGTTCCTGGAATAATACAATGTTTAGAAAGAAGTAACTTACAATTGTCATGGATTTTGGAATTCCACCTACGAACAAAGTTTTGGTGGGTTGCATTCCTTTATTAGCGTCCTCGACTCTATCTACAGGTATTACTTCGAGCTCCTTCCCGTGAAACATCAACTTTCCTGACTTTAATCGACTTTTGAAAATGCTTATATTAGCGATGGTAGCCATTATGGGTGCTGGTTCCATCCTGCTTATGCTGGTCACTGGGCTAATTTTGGAAAGGAATTCTTTTAAACTATTCAAGTTATCAGGTCCATGTAGTATGAGGACCTTGCCTGATGTACTGCTTTGTGGCTCAGACCCCTCAGTCACTTTACTCGGTATGCTTGATGCCTTATTTTCCGTCAACTTCTCATTGTTCAACATCGAACCAGGTTTTTGGACAGCCTTTGACCCAACCAGGTTGTTGATGGCTTTACCTTTCTCAGCATTCAGTTTTGAATTGTCTTTATTACTTTCTTCCTCTCCTTCACTAGATTCTTCCTCGCTATCGTCGTCGTCTTCCTCCTCACTATCGTCGTCGTCATCTTCCTCTTCGCTTTCGTCATCGTCATCATCTCCATTCTCTTCGTCCTCCTCCTCCTCTTCTTCCGCACTATCATTTTCTTCGTCATCATCCTCTTCATCTTCACTGATAAGATCTTTTTCCTGCAGTTCTATCCCCTTTTCAGTCGCCAGCTTCAGTTTCTATGAATTTGTTTGGAACAAAAATCGTTTGATCAGGTTATAAGACTTATATACTCTGAAGCTTTTAAAAATTAGTTGATTTCGCTTGTGGCAAATCTGTGCCCCAATAAACTAGTCGAGATTTCGAACGACTGATCTCTGTTTTTGTGGTAGGACGATTCGACTGCTGCCGGCTTACATGAACTATCTGGCTTGTGCATTACCATGTTAAATTAGGTAAGAATATAAACTAGTATTAATTACTAGAAAGTCTAATATAGAACCCGATATGCACGAGATTGGAACTTGAGGTTCAGATGGAACACCATCCTCTCCATACATATAAGTAAAAAATAATTCATATCTTCACCCAACTATCAGTCCCGGTTCAACTACACTAAACAGGAAACTTGATAGTCATTCATCACGAAGTAGGAAGACCATAAGTACAAATAACAAAACTCAAGGTAAACGTTGATCATTGTTTGAGCTTGTACCCATGTGAACACCCACTGCCATAAATGTGTTTATACACGCTAAGTGAATGTCACTGGTCGAATATAAGAGTAACCCACAACAACCCACAAAGTCTGACTAGGCTTCCATGAAAAGTAGTGACAAGCACAACCTATATGGAATCGGACTGTAAACACAGTACTGTATAATCAGTAGACTCTAAGGCTGGCAATTGGGACTTTATGAGAATATCCTTACATATCGAGCAAACTTCTGGTGCGTAACAAGACAAAAACAACTCGTGCTATATGGAGTGAACATATTAGCTTATTTACCTTATGTGACATCCTTAGTTCACCTGCATCACCGCCCAACGCACCTGTCTCAACCTCTACATCACTATCGTCGCTGCCGACAGGGACTGGACGCTTTGATCCACCTCTCAATGGAGTGCCTTTGCCGTTGACGAGATGCTTGTTTTTTGATTCCGGAGTAGCACTAGGCTTTGGAGATTTAATTGTTGAATTATTTACTAAAACCAAACAATCTGGTAAGTAAATTCGAAAACAGAAAATGGGACGTAAACCAAAGAGTATTACTTACACAACTGCTTCGAACGACCCTGAAAGATAAAGAAAACGTGCGTTAGTCATGAGAACAACGGAATCACACATAAGCACCCATGAGCCCCATCCCACTCACCATGTTCAACTAACCACCGGACGTTGAATGTGAAACACACGCTTAAACACGTAACACATTAAAACTATTCATTGAGCTTTTAACAGCATATGTTAGTAATCAACTGAGGACTACAAAAAACCAGGGATAAAACATGCGGGCTTACACCGAATTACTTCCTGTAAGGATATTATCGCTCACCAACAAATATACTACACATTCAGCCATGTCAAATAGTTAGCGTAAAAGATGACAGGACGTCAGCTAATTATACCGAGTGTCGTACATTCAGTTTTTTGTTGATTGAATGAAGGCATCTCTCGCTGTTGTTGTTGTATGGATACAGTGTGCATTGTCAACTCCTTTCGCCGAGGGCCTGGTAACAGGGCGTCCATAAAGTGACAACGAGAACCCCGTGGTTGTGGACCTCTAGTAATTGGTATTGCACTCGATTCTGCCGGAGACCAAAGTTTGTGCTATTGTGGGAGAACTTACTATTCTCCCGAAGCCTATATGATAAATGTCGTGCTAATTTTTCGGAAATTGACGCGACTTCAACATCTTCCTGGATTCTTATCCAATCTATCTTTTTTCAAAGGGATAGAGGAAACAGTGAACTGCCGACTCAGGCCTGTAGTGGGATAATCCCACCAAATCCTAAGTCCTGTGGAATTGAAGGTAGCCGATGTTGAGATAAGAGCATTTTATAGTGTATAAAGCCGGAAAATCGTACGTTCTAACACTAACTCACTATCCCCTTAACCACAAATGTGGGGCTATTCTCTTAAGGAGTAAAGAGCATCACTAGGCTCGTAATCTTCTCTCAGAAAACCACAGCCCAAATTTCATTAGCATCCAAAAGACCTGCTTATACCGCAGTACCGACGTACGGCAAACCAGGTCAGCGATTTGAAGCACTCTCATATCTATCGGTTAGTCACATGTGTGATCGGAACTCTTGAAACACTATACTACTTGCGAACTCTATCTTCCCTATGAAGGTCGGTCGGCAAAACATAGACACCGCGTACATACCTTGTGTGAGAACATGCGCCACGACTTTGCGTTTATTTCGGTTCATCTGACACGACATCTAGGTACCCTAATTGTTTATTAGTGGCGACCCTGGGTGACATTCTGAATAACTCAAAAATAGGACAGATGCACTAATTTGCCTGACTCCCGAGCCATATCACCTGTAATTTCGAGGTAGTTAATTATCATTATCACAGTAAGTAGGCAGACAATTTCCAACCACTAATTATAACATTGTTGGTTTATTCGCATTCGATGAGTTGCTCGAGAGAAACCAGTACACGACAAAATGAGCTTCAGGTCAGTCACCATCTCGAAAGTCCTGACTAAACAAAATTACGTTTTATAAGCGAAGCCTCGTTAAGACACTAATACCCAACCCTACTTCCATATATGTATATATATATTTGGTTGGAATCGACTTATTCCAGCATGACCTCAACTCTATCCCGCTACTTTACCTCACTGTGTTCTGTAAAAAACCGCGTATGAAGTGAAGTGTATATTAGACTACAACATTAATGAATTTCCAACATGAATATTTTAATGTTTAAAGTCATATGTACGTTAATAAAAGTATTTGCACGACGCACCAGTGAGGAATCCCTGAAAAATACCAGGATATTTAGTCCTCATCTGAAGAGGACGACTCCGAAGGGCTGGCATTTCCTGGACGGTGAATTACGGCTGATGTTATTCGGGGTCCTTTTGAGCTGCCGTACCCACGAACTGGCTCTCCTCTGGCTGGGCTGCGATCTCGTCTTTGATCTGTTCGTTCGAAGCGGTCATTTCTACCAAACTCGCGTGACCCGCCTCGATTAGCTGGAGCACCTTGGAAACGGTTTACATCTCTTTCGCCTCTGCCTGAATTGTAGTCGAACTGCCTACCTGAAACCACAAAAAGAAAATAGTTACACTGCCTGTCATACTGAAACAACTAAACCAGTTAGTTGCCTGACAAAATAAACTTACCTTGTCTGTTGTAGTCACGTTGACCACTATAATCACGCTGATTGTACTCACGTTGATTGCCATCTCTCTGGTTACCGTTTTCACGCTGGTTGGTGTGATCTCGATTATTGAAATTCCGCTGATTGTAGTCGCGTTGATTACGTTGACCGTATTCTCTTTGGTCACGATTATAAGGGCGCTGATTGTTATAACTCGGTTGTTGATTGTGCTCCTGGTCTATAATGAACATCACATACAATTTATGGGCAATCCTTTACCTCTCTGGATTCGTCCACGTACAGGCCTACCGCCCATCATCTTATTTCCGCAGGAAGTAAGAGCGGCGCTGCACTGGTCGGAATTCGAGAAAGTCACGTGAGCAACGCTACAAACAATTGAAAGTTCAAAAATAAAATTTACCCTCTGGAACGTCCCTGCTCGTCTAACGAAAGTGCCACTCGGAGGGCTTCTGGGAACTCGCGCATAATATCTCTTTCAGATGCTGTATAGGGAAGATTTGACACGGTGAGTGTACAAGAGGCGTTGGAAGAACTTTCACTATCAGTTCTACTATGCGGATCATATGTGGGCTGGCTGTACTCATTATCGGCATGTGAACGTCTGAAATCCCTGGAATTGCCTCCATAATGCTGGCTGACATTTAAATTTTCTGACGAACTGGAATGATAATCTGAAATATATAAACTGAGTGATTATTAAAGAGCTTTTGAAATAAGTCCAGTGATTGTACGAGTTTTAATGACCAACTCACCTCCGTTCAGTTCCGCATGCAGCAGCTGTCCACCAATTTCTTTTCCTTGAAGACATTCATCGTAGGCTTGTTGACAGTCGCGAGCATTGTTGAATTGCAAGATGCACATGCTGTTTCACATATGAAACAGAAAAAGAGAGCAAATATGGAGCGATCAATGGGAAGCGAATAAGCTTTACTAAAGACCCCGTAGGCAGATCTTTCGAGTAACAAATTTCTACCTCCATCGAAAGTGTTCGGGTCGACCTTCCTGCATTTCACTCCGTCGCAAATAGTACCACCTGCTCACATTACAGGAATGGGTCAATGTGGCACACCTGCGTCGCCAGTAACAAAAGGTAGAAAGGTAAAAGATCGGAGTCAGTTCTTGTTAACGTACTAACGGAACATCATTAAAATGCCTAGGTTCACCTTTGGACATTTAACTTGCCAAACAAAAATATCGCAGACTGTCGAACCTACTGTGGTACTGCTCATAAAACGGAGTGAATTAGATCTCTTATAATGTCGTTAAATGTGCGGTAACAAATTAATTTGTAGGGAGCAAACTGTACTCACCCTTTAGATTGCGAAGACACAGAATGACTTCGTACGAAGTTGACTGACCTGGCCGAAGGGAATACCGACTGAACTTCGGTTTCGTCTGCCGAGGTGGGTAGATTGTATACGGCCAAAGAAGTGGCTTGACCAGACTGGTATGCTTGTGTCAGTGACATGCTTTTTAACTAAAAACAAAAGTACTCATCAAGGACGGAAAAAAAACTATCAGAGAAATCAGATTCATTTACAAAGATTTATTTGCAATTTGAATTTACAGAGCAATCAAGTTTTTTAATCAGAACCACCGCGTTTTGACCAGCCCCCACGGTTACCACCACGACCACGGAAAGACTGGCCACCACGACCGTGGGGCGACTGACCACCGCGGCCGCGAGATCGACCACCACGACCACGAAACGAGTTGCGCTTGAAATCACCACCAAATTTGTGCTGCGCTTTGAAGTTGCTTTGATCTCCTGAACGGTTGTCTGCTTTCGGAAATCCACCAGCTTTTTGTCGTGTAAGCCAGGAAACTGCTTTTTCTCCTTGCCTTTAGGTGAGACCATATCAACGTCTTCGTCACTTTCGTCTTCACTTTCATCCTCTTCTTCCTCGCTTTCATCTTCACTTTCATCGTCTTCGTCACTGTCGTCGCCATCTTCACTTGTATCTTCGTCCTCTTCGTCGGCATTCTCATCCTCAATGTCATCTGCGTCATTCACTTCCTCTGCCTTCGAAACTTTGTGAGCAGCCTTGACCTTCGAAACGCCTACTTCTACAGCTATAATGAACACCAAAAACCTTTAGAAAGACAGCACAATTGCGAACAAACATACAAAACAAACCGAAACAAACTCACGTTTAGCTTTCTTCTCAGATGTTACAGAATGCTTCTGTTGATTGTTAGCACAATCATCAACAAAGACATCTGAAGGAGAAATACGGGTTAGTTTAGTGAGGCAAAAACTCGAGAGATTGAAGCGAAAATCCTAGTAAGTTGGTGTCTGGATGACATGTAATGTGAGCAAATCAAAACTTTCGAGGTAAAATTTCAATTATCATTCTACATACCTTTCAAAAATATTGTCACGCGGCGACCTTTCAGAGTTGCGTTTGAGGAAATTGCATTGTTACAATCTGCAGCGGTTTCAAACTCGACAGTCATGGATCTGAAACAAGGCAATACACTGTCAGACGTTACGGACAAACTGATCTAATCAAAATGAGATAAAGGCAGTAACAATTTAGTTTCAAAGGCAGCTATCAAGATATTAATATACTTACGCGCTCTGGTTCCCTGTAGTTGTATCACGTGACACCGAAACGACGCCACCAAATAATCCTTTGATGTCTGATTCTTTTGTGTCAGCTGGAAAACCCCAAACGATGGCAGTCTTGAGCTCTGGTCCTCCTGTTAATGCCAGTTTCAGCTGTTTACCGGCATGGAACTTTGGCTGTGAGACAGCAGCCTTTCGGACTTCCAAGGAAGGAAATTTAAGAAATGCCTTTCTGTATGAAGAAGAAAATGTAAGACCGATAGTAACTGACGCTAAATAACTTAAGTGAGTGACTAGTTTACGAAATGTTTGAACCAATTCGCCGAAAACTAACTTTACTCACCGTTTTTTCTGAATCCACTGAACGTCTAAACATGTCGGGAATAGCTTACGCAACTGGTTCGGATGACCATCCCAATTTGAAACTGCGACTCTTACGGAACCATCAGGACCAGCTCCTAAAGGATGCCAGTTAAACGACTACTGACAATCAATACTTACGAGGCTGTTGATCTTTAGCGAAGTTAGCTTTGAACAATTGACCTTCCACGGTTAAAGAACTGAAAATTTGGTGAGCTTGCTTAGCAACATCAATAGAGGAGAAGGACATAAATGCACTATTGATTTTATGGTTTTTATCCAGCAAATTTAGGGAAACAGGTTGACAGTTGTTGGGGAGTTGACTTTTTAGTTGTTCCTGGAATAATACAATGTTTAGAAAGAAGTAACTTACAATTGTCATGGATTTTGGAATTCCACCTACGAACAAAGTTTTGGTGGGTTGCATTCCTTTATTAGCGTCCTCGACTCTATCTACAGGTATTACTTCGAGCTCCTTCCCGTGAAACATCAACTTTCCTGACTTTAATCGACTTTTGAAAATGCTTATATTAGCGATGGTAGCCATTATGGGTGCTGGTTCCATCCTGCTTATGCTGGTCACTGGGCTAATTTTGGAAAGGAATTCTTTTAAACTATTCAAGTTATCAGGTCCATGTAGTATGAGGACCTTGCCTGATGTACTGCTTTGTGGCTCAGACCCCTCAGTCACTTTACTCGGTATGCTTGATGCCTTATTTTCCGTCAACTTCTCATTGTTCAACATCGAACCAGGTTTTTGGACAGCCTTTGACCCAACCAGGTTGTTGATGGCTTTACCTTTCTCAGCATTCAGTTTTGAATTGTCTTTATTACTTTCTTCCTCTCCTTCACTAGATTCTTCCTCGCTATCGTCGTCGTCTTCCTCCTCACACTCGCTATCATTATTATCATCATTTACATTGTCTTCATGAAACTAAATAGTATTTCTTACCAATAGGAATCATCTTAATTGTTTACTTTTCCGTATTCTGTCCGTTCTTTCTTATTTGTAACCTTGGAAATCAATTCCACATTGTTTTTGTGCTGCTAGGTGGATTTTTGTTACTGGTATTACATCCGATTTGGCTGGGTATATCTGTTTACCTAGCTCTAATTTCTTATTTAGCAAGTTTTGGGCGTTTGTGTAACAGATCCAAAGCCTATTTAAATGGTTTCGTCCTTCACCGATAGTGGCCTCGGTATCATCTTCTTTTGAGATCCCATAGTTCGAAAATTTGCAATCTTTAGGTTCTTTTCGTACATCTATGCACGTTTATCGAGATGACTCCGAAGATATACTGAGGCATTAGCTGATTTAGTATCTGCTTTGTGAACCCAATGTCTTGCTAAAACGAGTTTATGTTCTGAGCCCTCACTGTCCTTGATTACATAAAAAATAACTAACCTGTCACTATGACCAGTCTTTAGTTTCTCAGCTACGTTTAAGGGTTTGACTTTTCTTTAGCGACGTTAGATCGTTTCATATTCTTCATCGTGCAGTTAAACTGGCTAGTATCCTGTGTTTACCTTGTAAGACCTCTCATTACTTGAATGATGCTATCGTCTGTGTGAAGATGTCCTGGTCATTTAGTGCCTGATAATACTATCACCCGTTACACCGCTCTAATTGACGACCTTAAAGCCAGCTACATCATATGTCACGAATCGTGTTCGTTTAATAGATAGTTGATTCATTTATACGTATATGGTATATGCCAAATAGTTATTGTAAAAGATACTATGATAATTAGAAGTATTCGAATTATTGTGTCAACTGAGAATTCCTGAAATTTCGTAATTTTAGGCCGGTAGTGTTGTGACATTAAATGAGGCTATTTATTTATTTGTCAACCAAAATACGACCGACTCACTCTTTTACTGTACTAAACCAATGACGCCCGACCGATCTGATCAGTTTGGCGTCCTTATTGGTTAGTTGCTCGCCTAGCCCGTCCAGCTGAGTCCAGAACACCAACAAAAGCCCCCGATATGCGAAGCATTTATTTCAAACATACTTGATTCACATACAAACCAAACAAACCGCATCACACCATAAAATAGGAAATAACGTTCGTACACAATAGAGCCGAAAAGTGACTGTGAAAGTGGGAGACAGTAATCAATAAACTGAGTATAACTTAAGAACAGAAAATCGTATAACAATAAATTATTAGGATTAGTAAAAACCTTGAAAAATCTTGTATTATTACTAATCAAGTTAATTTATTCCCAGTAAATCCTGAAAAGTATGTCACTAATTTATCCTCCATTGTATTATCTGCTAATGAAAAGGAAGCCCTTTCTCTTGGTTTTAATTTCTCGTCCCTATAACGCAAATGTCTGAATTGGAAATAAATGCCCAGTTTGAAAATCTATATGATCAACTGAGTACTCTAACCCCTACGTCTTCAAATAATCAAAGCTGGTGTAAAGCTAAACTAGTGGATATAGCACACCAATTTCATAGTGTTGGCCCGAAGCAGAGAAGCATATTAACTTCTCAGCATTTTAAATCATTAAAAGAACTACGATCAAACTCTGATATTGTCTTGTTAAAACCTGATAAAGGATCAGGCGTAGTTATCATGAATAAATGTGAATATAAAAGTAAGATGTTATCTATCCTTAGTGATGAAAGTAAATTTATGCCTGATGTTGAATTTGGAGGTATCAGCAAACTAGAAAGAAGAGTAAATTCAAACCTAGAAAAATTGCTACTCATGAATATTATTAATAAAGAGGAATTTAACTTTCTAAAACCTATGGGTTCCGAGTACCCTCATTTATATGGACTGCCTAAAATTCACAAACCTAATGTTCCTTTACGTCCAATTCTATCAATGTGCAGATCACCTACACATAATCTGGCTAAATGGTTAGCAAAGTTGTTGGATCCTATTCGAAGACATCTATGTAAGTATTCTCTAAAGGATTCTTTTGAACTGGTTGATCATTTAGATGATATTAATATCAAGGAAAAGACAATGTGTTCATTTGATGTAAATTCCTTGTTTACAAATGTACCTTTAAAAAAACCATTGATATATTATGTGATTACATATCTGAAAACAATTTTCAATCACGTGTACCTGTAAAACTTCTTAAAGATTTACTATTACTATGTACTGACAAAGTTCAGTTCACTTTTGAAGGTGAATACTTTCGTCAGATTGATGGAGTTGCTATGGGTAGTCCGCTAGGACCATTACTAGCAGATGTGTTCATGGCACATGTTGAAAATCAGACTGATGAATTAATCGGAAACATGTCACTTTATAAGAGATATGTGGACGATATCTTAGTTGTTTGTGAGAGAAAAGAGGATATGTACGGTTTATTAAATAAACTCAACACTCTCCAAAACCATATTAGTCTCTCATGTGAAGAGGAGAAAAACGATCAGCTTCCCTTCCTAGATATACTCCTGAGTAGACGAGAAGATGGTTCAGTAAAGCGATCTATTTTTAGAAAACCAACGTGGACAGGTCAATATCTTAGTTATTATAGTTATTGCCCTGTGCAATACAAACGTGGTTTGATAAGGTGTCTTTTCAACAGACTCGACCGTATTTGTACCAATGACGCCATTGATGATGATGTTAAGTTGTTAAATAAAACGTTAATAGAAAATGGCTATCCTCTGAAATTCATAAATAGATGGAAAGTCCATGGTTCAGCGAGACCTACTGTAGCCTCGGTAGAGAAAAAGCCTGTCTACATCACCTTACCATTCAGAGGTGATTCAAATAGCCTTTTACTGAAACAACGACTTAAATCAGTCATCAATAAAACCTATTGCGCAGCAAAGGTCATCATCAAAGAAAGAACAAGGTGCATGCTTCATTCAAAACCTAAAGTACATGGAAACGATTGCGTCACATCCCACTGTGTTTACCAATTTAAATGTGTGTGTGGTCACACATACATAGGGAGGAGTAATCGTGATCTCAACATTAGGGTGAGTGAACATGTACCCAAATGGCTTCAGAAACAAATACAATCAAGTGACCCAATAAGAGCAGAGGATAAACATCCATCATCCTCTATTGCTAAACATATAATTGAAACAGGTCACAAGATTGATCTAAATTCAGCTTTTGTAGTGCTGTATAAAAGTGTAAAAGGGCGTATACTAAGGTTTATTGAAGCCTTAGCCATACGAAAATTCAAACCCCCTTTATGTGTTCAAAAACAGTTTGTTCTTACCTTAAACCTACCCTGGTAATATTGACTTATTATCCAGAGTGATTAGGTTTCGCTTTGTGTTCACATTATTATTATTATTACTCTTATCATTATCCTTATCTCCTCTTACCCCGTTTCCTGTCTAGTTGACCTTTTATTTTTATATATAAATGCTCTTAACAAGTATATGTGTGACCAGATTGTTCGAAATGTATTGCGCTAATATATCACATAGTTCTGTTAATCTTCGTTTTCTAATATAATTATCGAATTTTATCAAAGGGACTAATTGTTTTAAAGGGGGATATAGATATACATAATTTAGTTACTGAATAGTTATAAAATAGTAATATATACCATATGAGTTCGTTAATAGTTCTCGGAAGTTACTCGTAGTTTATTCTTCGCTAAGATATAACAGGCAGAACTATATGAACACATATCAACATATTATATTTGTAATTAATAATCAGTGTGCAAGCAAGTACGAAGGAATAATTAGTTTGTACAAATACAACATCCGCCTCAGCTTAAATGAGAACCCGAATTTTTGCAATCGATTGTGCTTCTCATTAAATTTATCATGTGTTTTTCTGATGTAGATTGTATGATCTAGAATGTTCTTATTCGTATTAAAATTAACAGACGAAATTGTAACATCCTCACCTGGTTCCTGGAATTGTATTCACTCAATAGGTCGGTTGTATGTATTTAAATCATTGAAGATCATTTGAACAGTACTATGCAGCTTCCACAAACTCCAAACACAAAGAAAGAGAATCCTTCCTTCAATAGCTTTTCAGTAGTCTCATTCTTTACAGAATGTTTAGCACTTCTATACTGCAGTAGAAATGTGTCTACGCCCTTCTCAAATTCATCAAATCTTCAAGCAGCATTAAAATCAGCAAAGGTTTTTATTGTCCTAATGAAATATCTTTCCCAACCATTAGAACAAGGGTGCCCGGGAGCAATGAACAGATGTTTGCACCCTATACTGTTCAACCAGGTTGTGATCTTGTCTGCAGCGAAATGAGGACCATATTCAGTCACTTATGCCACAAGTACCTCCTACCAACTAAAAACGTCCCCAAATTCCTGATTTTGAAATTCAGAATTTGGTGAGGTTGGCAAAAGGCCTCAGCCGTCTTGAAGAAGTCAGTGGCTACAAGTGCACAGTATTTGCGAGAAATTGACCACAAACGTTTGCATGAATTCTCTACCAGGTCTCAGACGATACTGGTCATGGACTCCACTTCGAAGAATGATTTTTTGACTTACGATATCTTCCACAACTGTTTGCTGAACGACTTATATCTGCATTTATCTCTGCTCATCAAAATATGAGCCTTGCCAAGGACTTCATTTTCTCAACACTTAAAT